GGCTCATGTCCGTCACCATGCTTAGGCGAATAATAAGCTGTATGCAGTCGTACTAGTATATGCTGAAAAAATTGCCTTGTCCCATTAACAGCATAAAAGTCACAGTTGGAAATTTGTTAATTTCGAACCACCATGCACCGAGCAAGCTATATATTTGATAAAATATTATATCTATAAGGTTTATTTAATTAGTAGTCAAAGAGGTTTACTTTTTACTTTAACTTCTTAAATTCAAAATTTGAAAAGAACATCATTAGTTCTTTTTTTTTTTTTTTTTTTTGAATGCGTGTATCAAATTAATGTATTAGATACGTTGTTAAAATAGTTTAAGAAATAAAATAGTTTAAATTAATATATAAGCAGATCTAAAAATATTTTTATTATCGAATGTAAAATATATTTATATACTTAATGAAATATTACCATCAAATCTGAAGCTTGATGTGGATAAGTTAATATATATAGTTATCAACCATTTATGAAAATAAAAATTTATCAATATCCAGAATGTAATATTTCAACTAATTCTAATTGTTACAAGGAATATTATATCCTTTCTTTAATATTTAAATTGAAAATGATGATCAAAAGTTTAATAGTTAATATCTATGTACATCATTTCCCACCTAATGACAGGAATATTGACATAAAGAAGTTGGAGGATGACAAACATTGATTAATAAACAACTAAGCTTAATTTCAAAACATTGATTAATAAAAAAATAATTAAGCTTGATTTTTATGAAGCTTCTTATAAAATTAAGCAGCTTCGTCGAATATATTTATATATATGAATATAGTATTGACTTTTTTGAAATGAGAAACTGCATAATCATTAAAATAAAATGAGAGAAGTTGCCTCAAAAACCAACCGACAATCGATCCTATAATCAATCAAGAGAACTAAAAATAGTTAATCGCGTACATACGTACCCTGTCAAAATTTTGCGAGGCATGCACGAGCTGGCAGCAATACTTTTTTAGATTGCCGTTGATCATCATTTTCACCTAAATAGACCCCAAAAAGTGTAAGGTTAATTTCAGCCTAACAAAAGGCATCCAATATAATACATCACGCCGGAAGTTTAATTAAAATAAAATATGTGATAGTTTCTGACGACAAATGCCGCAGATAACAAGAACCAAGCAAGGGATAAAGTCGTTCATGTAAAATGCTCAAGTAATTAACAAGTCTATGTAGACCGAATCAAGCAAAATATTGGGCCATTGCATGCACTAAACAATTGTAACAACAAGGTCTAACGGACCAATTAAGTTTATTAAAAAAGGGAAATAGTCTGGTTTGTTCTTACCCAATAGCTTGTGTTCCAATCTATTTTTTATATTTTAAAACAAGTAATTTATGTTTATTTTATTTAATTATTAATTTGATCGATTTTTTTCAGTCAAATTATTTGAAAATATCACATAACCTACATGTTATTTTTTTTTTAAATAAAAATGCTCCTCGCAACCTAACATATTAAGTCTTCAATTTATCCTTATATAATAGGTTGGGTTTTTAATATGTCCTTAATTTAGAACAATATCTTATGTTGTGATTATATTTTTATTTTAAATGATATATTTTTATGGTTAAATTCAGAAAATTGTGATTATATAAAATATAATCAAATGATTTGGTCACTTGATAATTTTTATATTCAAGTACATTCCATCAAAATCTAACAAATTTCATTGTAAAATAATGATATTAATTTACTAATTTATTATTATTTTTACTAAATTTTAATTTTAAAAAAATAATGACGTACCTAAGAGAATAATTAATAATTATTTAAATTATAATTATGTAGTTTTTTAATCAAATAAATGTGTAAACTTACACGTGTGTGTGTGTATCATTTAGTTATTTTTGCATGCAATTGACTCTTTTTTATTGAGACGATTTAACATATGATTGTAAATATTATATCAATTTGTTTAATTTTATACATAAATAAATTATTATAATCACAATGATATAATGGACTCTTTAGCATTAAAATATGTTAAATGAAAATTTCTTAAATAATTATATAATATAACATATATTATTATTTTTATATATTTTTAATTAACAAAAAAATTCACTATATTGCAATGTATTACTAGCAAAAATCACAATTACACACATTTGTTTTAAATTAAAGACACATTAAAGACTAATCCATTATATAAGAATAGAATGAAGACCTAACATGTTAAGTTGATATGAGTGTTTTCATCAAAAAAAAAAAATCATGTGATATTTTGAGGTACTTTATCCGAAAAAATTTACCAGAAATATAGATTAGAAATTTACTTAAATAATAAAAATATAATTGACTCATTTTAGAATATATAATAACAAATTAAAGACGAACAAAACTATTATTCCCAATTATTTTTTTCAAAATACTAAAGGAGCAAAGGTTCAACACAAAGTGGAGACCATCGTTTTGTTTCTTTGATTTGCAAATTAATTAGAACAAATTATGTGTCCATAAAAAAACAAAAAATGAATTATTATTATTATTTGTAGATAGATATCTTTTATAAAATGATGAATTATCGTACCCCGAAAAATATACTCACTTCCTTTAACCATGCATTATTTTTATGGTAGATCTCATGCATGTTTGCATGAAAGAAGAAAGTACAATTCCAAATATAGTTAATAATAAACGTAAATATAATATGTGAATGCCAACGACAAGTAATTCAAGTGATATTAATTAGTGCCTTTATTTTTAAACCTTTCATTTCTTGAAAGAAAAAGAAAAGGAAAAAAAAAAAAAAAAGGTATTTGACATCAAGATTGAATGTATGCTAAGAATTTCAGATCATGGTGAATGAGACTGAACTCAGGTTCTTTTCCGATCACTGTTTTTCATCATTATACTGGTTTTTACAGCCTGTCGAGGAACATTAGGGTCCGTACGTGTTGTTAAATAATATCAAGAAGACAGCTGAGAGCGAAGGAAGGGCAGTCCTGCAGGTTTGTCCTCCTAATAGTAAACACCACACTCTACATACTACAGGTACAGGGACATGATAATTGTCAAATTAGCCTGCTTTTAGAAGATCCAATATTAAATTAACTAGCCCATACACTTTTTTTTTTTTTTTTTTGGATCTCGTGAGTAATTAGTAGTAATATTTTTATTTTATTTGCCTCTACAGGATCGTAGTTGCTTGACTATAAACGAGCTAATGACCAAGGGATCCGAGAGGTCAGCAGATCAGATGCTATAAATTTTTGGTTAATTAGTTATAAAATATTCTAAATTATTAGTCAATATCTTTTAACATTTTTTTTTGTTCTGATTTAGATTTTCAACCTTTTTTTTCAATTAATTTTTTTTATCCTGTTCGATCAATCTCAAACCACATTAACATTAACATTAAATTTGATTTGCATATTTATAGACTAAAATGATAGTAATTTAAAGCAAATTTGATAAAAATAGTTAATGAACACTAACAAAGAGACTTGATTAAGACCTTTCGGACTTAATCGATAAATTTATAGATTTGAGATTTAGTTGAGAATAAGTATATAGGTATGGGAGTAAAATGAGGTTTTCCCTTAGATTTACTATGTACTTAAATCCCGTAATCAACATTTTTGTTAAATGGGCGCAGAATTCAAAAATTTTAAATATTCATCGATGGCTGAAAAATCTCAAATAATTCTTTTTTATATAGTAATAACTAGATTTTTTACCCGAGCTACATTGCAGATAGGATAAAATATATAAAATTATTTAGAAAAATTATTTTAATTTGATAGTCTGTTTTATTGTGTGAATATATAAAAATATATGAAATCAAAGATGAAAAAAATATTTTAAAAATTTTAATGTAATTTGAAATTCAATGGATAAGAATTTTAAAAAATAACAAATTAAAGTAGTAAATTTTAAATAATAAAAATAATCAATAAAAAATACTAAAAAAAAGAGATCAAACCACAATACAATTAAAGTTTGAAATAAAAAAAATTAATTAATTGGATGAGAAAAGAATGATCAATATTAAAATAAATAAAAAATATCATTAAATGTAATTTAAAATTAATTAGATGAGAATTTGAAAAAATGACAAATTAAAGTTATCGATTTTCAATAAAAAAAATAATCAAACAATTAAAATAAATGAGCTAAATTACAATACAATTGAAGTTTAAATTTTTTTTAAAAAAATTGTATAGAAAATATATATAAAGAAAAAAAGACACACACACCTAATACACACATAATTTATTGTATAAATTATAATAATATATTTTAAAAAATAAAACACTCGATGTTCTAAAATTTTAATTCAAAATTCATGTATAAAAAAACTAAATTTATTAACAAATAAAATCATATAAAAAAATTAATTTGATGAGAATTTTAATAAGAAAAAAAGAATTGAAAAAAATTAAACAATAATATATATATATATATATATATATGTGTGTGTGTGTGTGTGTGTGTCAATAAACACATCTAAAACCTTAAAAATCATTTTAATACATACAAAAACAAAGAAAAATATAAAATTAAATCGGATTTTTTTTTTCCTTTTTGGGCTCGATCTACCTCTTCTAATTGTTTAATGACTTGAAACCACCATGGACAAACTCATTTCTTAAAGATAAAAAAATCTAGTGAATTTTTGTCGGCCAAAATGACCTAAATGAGCTTAGCCGACAATCTCTTCCTCTCTTCCTCTCGGCTTTCTCTCTCCACCCATGGACCAAAATGGATGAGCAAATGAACATGTGAATTGAAATATGAGTTCGAAAATATCAAGGGTCAAAGTATAAAAAAATTATAAACGAGTGAAAGTAATAATGAATTATGAGAGAGCGAATAATGAAATGTGAATGTTTACACGAGTGTTTCAAATATGATAGCTACGAGTGTTTAGATGTTTTACTTTAGTATGCTAGTTAATATACACTCGGATGCATGAAAGATAATTGTTTTTTTAAAAAAAAAAGAAAAAAAGAAAAAGAAAAAGAAAATATGGATGTAAGAGCAAGAGCAACAAGAGTTGGAAGTGATGTTATTCTTCGAGGGGAAAAAAAAGTTGGAAACAAAATTAAAATTGCTTCTATTGAGGATGGGAGAGGTCCACCGCATTTTATAATTCAAGACACATTGGATCTACCCAATAGAAAAATTGATATAGGAGTGTGTGTGCAAAAATAAACCAATAAGTAACTGGTTTTCAACAGATGATGATGTGCCCACTCTTGTTTTGCTTGCTTTTTACTTAAATGTATTATTTGAGACAGTATAGCTTATGATCATGAACTTGAGCTTGAGCTTGCAAAATATTCATCTCAAAACTCTTGAATCCTTTAATTCTCATACTGATATATAATTAAAGGTATGTGAGGCACCAAATAAAAAAAAAACGGTCCAATTTTACTGTAATCCCTTTCAAGTAAAAAAAGCCTTCGCATCCAATGTTATTTATTTTTCTTAATGATCTTTCATTTTTAACCGTTGCCTCACTCTCATATTGGGTTTGGTTCTTCTTCTTCTTTTTTACCCTCAACTTCATAATTAAACAGCATTCATGGAAATTTGACCTACGGACTTGAATTTATGGATGTCTATAAGGTGTAAGGTAACTAGCTATTATTTGAGGATTGACTTAACGAGTTCATTATTATTATTTTTATTTGCTTCTTTTGCTGATTATTAATTATAAGCAAGCTAATAGATGACATGCATTGAAAAAATGTAACTTTTGGTTAAGTTACTCGTCTGCTCTTTTCTAAAGCAGAGTAGCATCCTGAAATCTTCGGGTTTTTATTTATTTATTTTATAAATGTAGCATTAAATGAGTTTTAATTAAGTAAATTTCACGATTAATGTTGAAGCTTCTTGTTCCAGTCAGGTTCCTAAGCATACCGCAAGGGCAGAAATTTAATGGTATCGTTCGATGAATCGGTGGGCCTACTCAATTACAATCGATTAAGAGCAATACCAAGCCCGAAAATTATATGGATTAAATGAATGTAAACTAAACCCAGCTTTCAAGGCCCAATCATATCCATTGCGCCCAGAAATCATTGTATGACCAAATCCAGGCTTACATATATATATATATATATAATTCGTAGGGAGTTGTTGCTATTACATTCTTATTCAATTTTTGAATCATCGCAAGAAAAATAATTCCTTGTGAAAACATTAATAGAATCGGTCTTATTAGTTTCGCTACACAAAAACGATTGCGAACTGAAGGGAACATAAAAAAAGGAAACTTTTTTTTTTTTTCACCATGCAAAGCGCTGTAGAAATAAGCATTAAAAGCTGGGTTAATGGTTGTAGAAGTGTTTTATTTTTTATTTTTGTTTTTATCATATCTTTTTATTTTTTTATATTTTTTTATTTCAAGTTTGTCTTTCTTCGTTTGATTTATGCTTAAATTTGTTCTTTCGTTAATTTTTTAAGCTAATGGTATTAAATTGCACTGTTAGCTTTATAAGATTGCAATATGTATCATTTTTTTTTTTCATTTTAATCTCATCCCTCTACTTTTTTTGTGTGAAAAAACTAGAAAAAAATGAAGATAAAATATTTTTATCCAAAATATCCATTATGGATTTAAATTTATCTCAATGTTAGTAAGTAAAATTTGAGTATAAAATAAAATATTTATAGTATTTTTTTTTTTAATGTCAATAGAGTTTTAGTCAAATTTTTAAATTTTTGAATGATATTTATAATTTTATAATTCTTCAAAAGAGTCTATTATAATTTACTTATTTTTATTTTATAAATTTCATAATTTTATTCAAAAGTGAGAATATTAATTTGTTAAGTTGTTTTTTTTATATTCAAAATTTACTTGCTATCATAGAGATAAATTTAAATCCATAAAAATTATTTTTTTATTAAAAATATTTTATTTTCATCCTTTTATTATTATTATTATTTTTCCACTAAAAAAGAGCAGAGAGACTAGAGTAAAAGAAATAATAATAAGGTTGACACATGTTGCAATCCTATAGATATAATGATGTGATTTTACACTGTTAGCTCAAAAAGTGAACGGAGAGACGAACTTAGAACATAAACTAAACCTTAAGGGATGAGTTTAAGACAAAATAATAATAATACTAAAGAGATATGATCAAGATGAAAGAAAGAATTGAAGAATTCCAGGACCATTAACTCTGATAGCTAATACAAATGAACACTCGACTTCACTGGCTAAAGAGACAGGACAGCCAACCAAAAACAACTCCATGAAATTTCTAATTAGCAAAATTTAGCCTTTGGACGAAGAAATTTGACCCCCTGGTCTCTTCGGAGCTACCAAGGAAGCCACTGGCTCCAAAACTCAAATTACAAAGAATATATATATTAAAAAAAAAAAAAACAAACAACTTTCTACTGCACTCGATGACAAATTTTGCAACAAACCTTTGTAACTTACATCTTTGTAAGAAACAAACCATTTATACTATGCTACAGCTGAGGGACAAAAGGTGATGACATTTTTTTTTCTTCTATTTGTTCTTTGCTTGTCTATTTTGTTACAGAGCAACAGAGACAGAGTAATGGCCAAAGGGTGTCTAGCTTTTTCACTAAGAAGACGAGGCAAAGTTCAGGTTCCAATCAAGAGTTTGAAAGAGAAGCGAGCAAGACTATATATTATCAGGCGTTGTGTGTTGATGCTGGTTTGCTGGAGAGACCATGGAGATAAGTGATTATCTTCCCGATTGTTTTATCATATTACCTAGTTGTCTGAGACGCCTGGTGCTGCATGCTGCGAGCAGTTCAAACTCCGGCCACCCATGTAATATTATACATTTCTCATCAATATGCTGTTTGCTGTTTAACCATGCTGCAATTTCTTTTCCTTTTCGATTTTCATTTTCTGGATCCTTAAAAATGGCATAGCATTCTCAATCACAAATAAATGATCCGGTGCCACCATATGAGTCTTGCTGGCCGATCCCAACAATCTCATCACTTAGATTCTCTCTCTAGATAGAATCCACAGTTTTATATATTTTTCGAACACTCGTGCTTCCGACAGATACAGAGAACCAGTATTTGGTTTGACCAGGAATCCAATGCTTATTAATAGGAAAAAAAAAATGATTAATGACCCAAGACGCTTTCATAGCTTTTGTTGTATTATCCTCTAGTGGTCAGCTAAACTGCATTGTTCTCGCTTATTGGCTCAAGTTTGTAATAGCAGGAAAGTAAATTGGAAACAAGGAAAATTAGAGCTTACCCGCAGTCTTGCGTTCAATCCAAGCTGCACTGATGTTTCAAAATTGAAAGCAGTCCTAATTTAGACCACCGGAGATGTAAGGATTTTAGTTCCTTGAAAATTAGAATTCTACATCTAGAACCATCCTGATTCACCTACACTTAGTAATAACCCCCGTGAAAATGATCTCAATTTTCTGGTGACTAACAATTTTTCTAAAAAAGTGATGGAATACCAACTGCCAGACGAGAGAAAGAAACAAGCACCAGAAATCTATAGCCTAAACATGTCTTGTAAGCAAACAGCCAGTCATTGCTGGGACAATTCAGAAACGAGTGGGTGGTGGTAAGAAGAGGGTTACCAAGAATTCGTTCCCTTTAACAGCTAATTATCAAAACCCAAGACGACTTCGGCTTTTGAGGCAGTCCAATTTGTTTAAGCTCTTCAAACATTTAATTAGCATCATCGATACTGATTATCACAAGCCAGCTGATTATCAAAACTCAAGACAACTTGGAGCATGTTCAATTTCAGATTTAACTATGCACATCAACACGTACCAATCAATTCCGAGCAAGAATCAATCACATTACCATCAGATTTGCGCAATCACAATCAATTGAATTAAGAAGAAATGAGCTGAGTAGAATTTAAAGGGGATTCCCATATGATATTCATTCATCGAGTCGAATTTAAAGAATCTCTAACTAATGGATTATTGCCCGAAGGGTAGATCGGGACGAATATAGAAAACGATTGAAGATTTCTAGCAGAGAGAATATCATAAAAACTACACAATTATAGCTCGATTTTGCAATAAAACAAAAAAAAATTCAATATCCATTAGACACACATTTCATAACTAATTAACAAAAGAAAAGAAACATTTTGCTTGATTGATAGAGTGAAAACGTCAAAATACAATACTAAACACAACTATTGTGGTTAATTAAAAGAAAAGAAGAGAACAGGACAGCGAGAATAACGGGTATATGATTATTATATATGACAGTTTTTTCCAAGGCTACAGAAAAGAAACAAACCCTAAAAAAGATTGGTAATTATCATCTTGATCATTAGGATGATCAGACGGCGAGCTTAGGGGCATCGCTGGTGATGGGGGCTGGGCATCGAGGTGGTGGTCATGGGAGGTGGGCTTGGTGAGCATGAGAGGACGGTCCTTGGCTTCGCCATCGTCTTCAAGATCGGTAGTATTGAGGTTGATGCAAGAGCATCTTTCTAGAGACGCAAAGAAAGCAGATGCCACGTTGGTCCCTACCCAATTGGCCACCCTATCCAGCTTCTCACATGACATGAAATTGCAATTGTTGTTATTAGAATTTGTGGTAGTATTGCTGTCCATCTCTAATTTTTTTTCTTTTTCGTCGATGATGATGATGGTGACTCGATTTCAAGAGAAGAAACGAGCTACAAGAAGAGAAGGATTCAACGGTATCGCTATTTGCTTTCGCTGCATTTTATATAAGGCCGTTGTTATTTGTCCGTCAATTTGTTTTTAGCGGTGATTTCTAAGGTTAGCATACGAGTTTGACTTGTAGGCAGATGGGCTTGAGCTTTACCATTATTGCTATTTATTCCTAATCACGAGCTAGATAGGCCCAGTATTAATGGCCTTTCAACATTTCACAAAATTGCGAAGGCATGCATTGCTTAATTGCTGTAATCAAGTTGATCTTGGCATAAATAACCAAGTGTACAAGTTAGTAACTTCAGAAAAAGAGACTCTTTAATACTCTATTCGGAAGAGTTCTATGCTAAATTGCATGTTTGAGTCTTATATCTATTTGAAAGGAGTGATTTTTTTTATAAAAAAACTCAATACTTCCATAACTATAAATCATAATAATCATGTCTGGTTATGTATAAATTCACTATATATTTTGTTATTCTTATCAATTTTTTTTTTATGAATCACTAACAAATTCTTACATGTGATTGCTATTTAATTATTAATTTGATGTGACGGTGATATCTTAGTAATTTATAATAAAAATTTTAATGAAAACAACAAATTATCTAATGAATTTAGCATTATCCTGTATAAAAAATTAAAACTTCAGAAACTTTTAATTGAAATTGCACCTTTGACATGATTTTAATGATGTAGTATATCCAATAGTAACATGATCCCTCCTCTCACCTTAAAAAATAAAATGAAAACAAAATTCCCATCCCACTCATAATTTTATTTTATAAATATCGCATCTTTGTTTATAAAGTAGATAATAATATAAAACATACACAATATTTAATTTTTATTTTATTTTGACCCTCAAAACTCCATAAATGCTTAAAAAGTCAATGAAAATCAAACATTTTAAATTAAAAAAAAATTAAATTCTAAAATTGTATCTTTAGTTATTTCATTTGTTGGGAATCCTTATAAAACTTTAACACTACAAAAAAAAATAAAACAAAACGTTAAGTACTGTAGCGTTTTACTGTTCATTCACTGTTCAACTCCTTCTTCTTCTTCTTCTTTATTTTTATTTATTTATTATTATTATTATTTTTTTTTTTTTGCCTTGGCTATAGCCTGGGTTAATTTTTTTTCTCTCTCTTTCTTTTTTTTCCCCTGCCTTGCCTTGCGTGTAGCTCAGTTTTTTTTTTTTCTTTCTTTCTCTTGCTGCTTTAGGCCTCTCTTTTGGCTTTAATTAATTTTATATTTTAGTCTCTATTTTGTAACTTTTTGTTTTTATTTTAGTCATTAAAATTTTATTATAATAAATCATTTTTTTCCTCTTGCTGTATTTTTTAATCTCTTCTTTTGGCTTTTAGTGAATTTTATTTTTATTTTAATCTTTGTTTTGTAATTTTTTATCGAGGTTATTAAAATTTTATTATATTTCATTTTTATCTCTATAATAAATATTAAAATTTTATTTTATTTTTATTTTAATCCATGTTTTGTAAATTTTTTTTTACCATTAAAATTTTATTATATTTAATTTTTATTCCTATAGTAAATTATTTTTTTCTCTTTCGTATTTTTTAAGCCCCTCTTTTGGCTTTTTAGCGAATTTTATTTTTATTTTAGTTCCTTTTTTGTAAAATTTTATTATTTTAGTCATTTAAATTTTATTATATTTGATTTTTTTTCCTATAATAAATATTAAAATTTTATCATATTTGATTTTTGTCCCAATAATAAATATTTTTTTCTTGGCTTTTAGTAAAACTGTTCACGATCTTATATATATTGCTTTTAGTGAAAGTTTTTTTTATCATTATTTTATGATCTTTACTTTGTTTTAATCATTTAATTTTGATTGTGTGTAATTTTATCTCTATTTTTTTTTTTTGTCAAATTCTTAATTTGAAAAAGTTTTTTGTCTTTTTGTTTTGGGTGATTTCTCTATCTCATTAACAAATTATAGATGAAGAATATATGATAAAAATTTATCATCTAAAATTCAAGAAACTACCACATTATTATTTAATTTTGATCGTATGTAATTTTATCTCTATTTTTTTTGTCAAATTCTCGATTTGACAAATTTTTTTGTTTTTTTGTTTTAGGTGGTCTCTCTATATCATTAAAAAATTATAGATGAAGAATATAAGGTAAAAATTAATCATCTAAAATTTAAAAAACTACAACATTATTATTTTAATTACCGGTTATTATATATATTTCTAATAAAATACATGTTTATATCAAATAATAGCTAATTAGTAACATTAAATTGCTTAACTTTATTGCATGCTTTTCATTTAGCTAACCCTACGGCAAAATATAAAAATATATGTTTTGGTTCTTTTTTTTAATTTTTTTGCGTTATCCTTTTAAATAATTATTTTTAAATTTTATATTTTATATGAATGAATACGGAAGAATGTTGTATAGCTCACTCCGAATTTTTTTCACGTGATCGTTTTACATAATTATTTTTAAATTTTGTATTTTATATAAATGAACACATAAGAATATTGTATAGCTCATCTCGCGACAACGCACGGGATATATACTAGTAAAATACTCAAAATTTATTGATGATTCATAAAACTTTATTATTTCTTTTTGCAAATCTCATCTATTGTTAAAAAAGACACCTTCCCAGTTCATCTATAAGATTTGTAAAAATTTTATCCAATATATATGACTAATTTTTATTCACGTCACGTATACTTAATACAAACTCTTTAATGTAAAAAGATTCATAAAAATTATAAAATAGTAAAATTAACAAACTAAAAGTTCATGGTACCTTCAATAAAACTTTTATCCATATAAGTAATGCATTTTATTTATTCACGCTACATGAATGTATTTTATTTGAAAAAATATTACTTAATTTAGACAATAATTTATAAATATTATGAAACTAATAAAAATGTGCTAGGAGACAATAATGAAATTTCATAATATTAAAACATAATTAATAAAATGATTAATAAACAAACTATTCATACTAAAACTTCATATAAATGGAGTAATCAAACAATCGATATAAATCCACATCCTCAATAATATCCAAAATCACATGAGGTATTTTCAAAGAACAGAAAAAAAAAATGCTAAAAGTAAGAAGACCTTTTTCGGTCGAGATAAGTCATAATTATTAATGTCCGATTCTTAAAAACGAGCGCATCTAGTGTAGTGGTATCATAGTACCCTCCCACGGTACTGACCGGGGTTCGATTCCCCGGATGCGCAGAACAGTTCATTTCATCAGGCTTCAGCATGCATTTTAAATTTTCAATACTCAGTTTCAGATACTAACCCATAGGCGATCTGGAGGGCAAAATCAATTCAAACTTCTTATTCGGAACTGAAACTTACTACTTAATTCAACCTTTACAAAAAGCAAGATACAAGAATGAACATCGAATTTAAGTCCCTGCTGTGTGATCTGAATTAGGTCTAAGTAGACGACCATCCAAATCCACAAACAGTGACCATCTAAATTCATTATCATTCAAATCTAGAAAGGTTCAAGTCTAAAGTGATTCACTGATATTCTTTATGCTAGATCTGAAGTTCAACTAATCACAGACACTAAGACTGAAAAAAAAAGGATATACCCATCATATCTCCCGCAATTTAGCAATCAATCACCAAAAGTATCACTGCAAAATAATTGGATATTTTTTGCCATGATTCTAAAGAATTCAAGAGGTATATTTCTAAAAGGAAGATGAGTTAGAACGGGTGAGCCTTGGCTTAGCACTCTTCTTGTCCTCTTCAAGAGATATCAGTAGAAGATTGGAAGGATTTTCTACCATCATTTTCGCAACCAAATAGCCAGCAATACTCCAGGTCTGATGTTTCCTTGCTTGCTTCCCAACATATCTGCCAGTCTTACCATCATAATACTCAGGCCACCCGTCTTTGGATAGCCGCTGCTCCGCCAGCTCTATGGCTCGTTTTGCGATTTGTGGCCTTCCAACCTTGATACATGCGGCTGAAAGTAACCATAGAAGCACTACAAAGAGCACAGTTCAGCAAGTTAAAAGCATGATTTAAACATTGTTACTGACAAAAAAAAAAAAAAAATCAAGAACAGAAATCTGTTTTTCTTCATGTGTTCAAATTCCAGTGCATAAGATTTCTTTACACGTGCCTGCACAGCAGCAGACTAACATAGACTATATAAAAAGCTGTACCATAAAAAACTATGTCTTGGATGCATGGAGTCTATGACACTCACCCGGCCATGACCCCCCATTGTGGTAACTCCACCTTGTGTTTTTAGGATCAAATCCAGTGACTATCCTCCATTCATGTCCCTCCAATGCTGGATATGTGATCTTCAAGGGCATCTCTCCAATCAAGTCTTCCCACCGCTCCTCGACCAAATCCATAATGGCCGTCGCCTGTGCAGGTGTAACCAGGGAGCTCAAAATGGCAATACAGTTCCCAACTAAGAACCACCGAAAATCCATGCGGGCTGGGCTGACATTGCCTATTAGGTAACCTCCTCGCAAAGGCATGAAATCAAACACCCAATCAGGAATGGACTCCGGAATGACATTAAATTTATTGACAGCTGTATGGGAGTACTCCTCAGTTTTGTAGCGATATATGTTATTTAGCTGTGTGAAATCCAGCCAATAGTATGTCTGAATGTGGTAGCTGAGAGCTGTGATGCGCTTCTCGATTCGCTCAATTAATTCCTTGCCATCGCGCTCTGGTTTTAACATCTGCTTTGCACACCTTAGAGCAAAATAGAAAAGTGCTTGGATTTCAATTGGATAACCGTATATTCCCTGTTCCAAAAACAAATAGAGGTTAAACTACAAATTACAATCCATCGAGATAAATTAATTGATTTTCCTATCTGGGAACCAAGATTAGAATGCACTCATAGATTAACTTTAAGAATCTCCCATCCGAACCTCTTCATTGATGCTAATTGTCATTCACAATATCCATAATTACAATCACAGTTGTGCCCTCCAATGAAGTGAAAAAGAAAGTGAACTGAATCGGGTATTATTTCAAATTCAAGGGATAAGCTCTCTGCGTTTGATGTTCATGACTGCCTATACAGAAACAAGATTGCACTGAAAGGGAGAGGTGCTAGAAATAAAGGGGAAACCTGATTTTACGTTGGCTTAAAGTGCATCAAATGACCAGACCTAATCTAAAACGTGTGGTTCAGTATTATCAGGTTGGAATGATGATATGGTTTCCCATAGTCCATCAAGATTGTGGATAACAATTAAGAGAAAACTCACCATCCTCCGGTCAATCATACTGCACCCATCTGCGCATAGAAGTGTTGGGAAAGTGTCAAAGCCATCCGAAAGGCAAAGTTTAAGTATAAGCTTCATTCCTTTCTGCACCTCCGGGCGATCTAAAAGTGCATAATCACGAGTGCGCTTGATATAGGACCTGAGAAGAATAATCCACCAGAAACCCGAATCAACAGGTGCCACTCTTCCTATTGCACTCGCACCAAAATCCACAAGCAAGGTTTCCTTTTCCTGATCAGAGTCATAGAGGACCTTAAAACTTGCAGGCAAGACACCTTCTCCAAGAGTGAAGTTATCAACCCTTTTTTCTAAACCCTGGAGGTGGAGGGTCTTCAACAGAAAATTCCTCACAATCTCAGGTTCTGCAGGTTCCTTCATTAGACATGCTAAGCCACTAGGAACAAAATCTCTTACAAAAACCTGCAGGTAATAAAGGGGAAGAGGATAAAACTATAAGTCATGAAAAAAGCAAAAAACAGCAAGGACAAGTCTGGAATAAGTGAAGTTACATAATATAAGCATGCTGTGGGTGGCTATGTAATATGTGATTAGATGAGAAACAATTTCAAACATATTTGAAACACCAAAGGAATTTAGGCTCTTGCCAGTTGCCACAACATCAAACAACTTGCTGTTATGAAAGTTATGTGCACCATGATCAGAGAGTAAATCACAAGTTAAATTATCCTTTCTTACGTTTAAAATGTCTGAAATACTTCTTAGATCAGCCACAGAAAAATACAAGTATAACGTGAAACCGTTGCCCCTAGATCAAGAAGATTAGGAGAGACACATGACTAAGCCACAGAAGATGATTTTTGCATACTGTGTTATCAATTTTTCTAACTAAATATAAGAATCTATGGTGGAAGCTTAAAAAACCGAAGACAAATTCCATATAGTTAAACCAATATTATATTTTGACAGAGAAGAAACAGAACCTATTTTCAATTGTAGTCTAGATACTGAAGCAACGTAACTATGCCATTACATTAATTCTTACATTTGTAGAAGGATAAAATTCGAGTTCATTTTATTTCCAAGCCAACCCCCTGATGCCGTAGGTCGTTCATATAAATTTAAGAAATTAATTTCAGAGTGCACAAGTACAGCCATGGAGCTAAGGATTGAAGGTTTGAGATGAAGAAAAGCTTGAATTATTTTCTCTATGCCAAAGTAGCAATATGTCACATTTCACCAAATGAACAAATAAAGATCATTAGCAAATGCAGGGAGCCATTAATTGGAAAGAAAAGGTTAAAAAAAATGCATATTACCTAAGAAACACACACATAGCTGAAGATGAAATCACACCGTGCAATTGCCAAGAGAAGTAGGAAATAATCAAACAGAATAGTGTTCATGATCAGGCAAAATTCCATCACAAAATTATAATGGAGGAAGGAACCAAGAAATTGATAAACGAGAACCTGCACCATAAAATCGCCTAGAGTATTATTCAATAAAAATCATTTCGTTCAATCTTTTCTCAAATAACAGAAACGATCTCAAATGGCTATTAAAAAAAAATGAACAAAAGGCAATTCCGGTCCTACAAAATCACAAGAAAATTGAGTTAGATACCTGATTGTAATTCAACGCATCAGCACTAGTATCCATAGCAGCTAGAGTCCCTACAGGCTTTCCTTTAAAGTGTACATAAGACTTCTTGAGCCTCTCCCACGCTTCTTCCACCATCGTGCAACACTCTGGACTCAGAAGCCCTCCACCGTTCAATCTTTGAGATATGTTCAGATCTAAAAGGTCCAGTTTCACACCTACACTGGGACACGGTTTTAACGCCGTTGACTTGGCGTTATCAGATTCAAACTCATTGCGCTGCACCATCACCGTCTTTTCATCCTTCTCCGGAGTCCGACCTCCCACCACCTTCTGCAAAGAAATTACCGGCGATTCCTCTGACACAGTTGCCTCTCCTTTAGCTTCGCATTTCTCAACTGACTCAGCAATTTCTTTCTCCAAAAACCTGACGGTTCCTCAGTCCAATCAATTGGAGTTACTAACTCGATTGTTAAATCTGTAGAAATGGCGCTTAGTTGTTTAAATTTTAGATCACCGGAGGATGGAGATTTCTCTGCTGTTTTAAAAACCTCCTTCCCTGAAGAATACGAAGGTTCGCTTTCTTCTAGATATTTCTCGGCAATATTTGACGGTTCAAGCGTTATAAACTCCGATGATTTCTTCAAATCTTCTTTATCAAGATTCTCGCTCTGTTTAAGATGCAGCAAAGGAGCTGCAGTCGCAGTGACTTTCTTTAAGTTTTCTGGTGACTGTTCTTCCCCTGGCAAGAAAAGCAGCGAAGTCTTTTTCGAACCTTCTTCATCAGAAACATCTCCAGTAACGGACGAACAGCTGGACGGAGCCGGATATGGAGGCGGAGAAACCTCCTCTTCCTTCTCGGCGTCAATAAGATCTCTCAATGTGGACATTCTAGAAAAAAGAAGAAGAAGAAAAGAATTGGAGGATTACAATAAAACAGAGAGAATTAATGTGTTTTACTAAGAGAGAAAGTTCAAGAAAAGAGAGTGTGAAACAGATTACCTTCCTTCGCAGTTATTTGGTTATTGCTAGCTTGAGAGAAGAACTGTAACGGTATAGAGAGAGAAAATGAGGAGAAGTCGATTCCGCAACCGAGAGGAGAGAGAGAGAGAGAGAGAGAGGAAGGGGAGTGTATATACAGATTAGAGAGAGGTGTTGGAGAGCATGTGAGAGATGTGATCTCAGGTGAACTGGAAGACTGGGGTTTATGTTTTTGGCGGTTAGATAAAGAATTCAAGAAGTGGAAGGGTGTTCTTTCAAGGGTCCAAGGCCCTTTTTTTGGTTATATTTTACATCCATGCCATTTAATATTTTGCAGTAGATTGTGCAGTAAATGCGGAGGAGGGTTGGTTAGATATTAAGATATTTTCGAGGGATATTTTAGGAGTAAAGTGTTTTTTTTTAAAAAAAAAAATCGAGGCGGGATTGCAAAGTGTAGAGTGCATGTTGGCGTGCTTCAGGCAGTTGGGTGCTGGCTTCTAATTTCCCTGCGGTTTTCACCGTACGAATTGGACTGAAAGAGCTACAATTTTTTTTTTGGATACTGCAAAATAAACCAGAAATAATTTTATTATTCCTACTGAGATTTTTAATATAAATTATCAATACGCCATCATATCAAGTCACTGATCAAATAGTAACTAATTAATCAAAAAAATTATTAGTAATTTTTTTAAAAAATGATGAAAATAAAAAAATATATAGTAAATTTAACAATTTTTTTTTATTCAGTAGGGTCTATTATTTTTATAAATGAAGCTGAATTATGCTACAGAGTCAGGGTGAGGGGACTATTGAGGCAAGTCCAAAAAAATGAATTAATTTTTCCTTCAAAAAATAACAAAAAATGATAATATTTGTCATTCTCATGATTGATTTTTATTAGTTGATCTAAAACATATAATTTATCATTATTATGGACAATTCTTAGTTTGTGGATCGAAATTTTAAATCATAACTAATGTATTTTTCTTTAATTTTCATTTCAAGTACAGTTGATATTTTCCCTGTCTCATTTGTAACAGCGAAAGTAAATTTTTCCTCAAAATATTTTACTATGCACATGTTATTCCTATTCATTATATATATAAATGAAAATAGGTTTATAAATAGACCACTACACATTCGTTGCAAAACATTATACCTTACATTTTACTTATACGGATACTTATACAGATATCTTCACCGTATCCATGCTAGAATGGAAACTGCTCAAGATACCAATGCCAATAAAGTTTATCGAAGGTAGAAGCGTTACTTCTCCAAAGAGTCAATGGAAACTTCACACCAAACGAATCTCCTCCTTATCGTGAACCAATCCTTCGAGGATAATTTTTCATATGAATAATTCTAAATTTTTTTAGCAATATTGTGCATGTTTTGATTAAAATTTAGCAGATCCCACGGATGAAAGCTTCAACTGATTGTGTTTAGCTATAGCACACATCTTATAAATAAAGCTAACACTGTATGACAATGTTTTTTTCAAGCTCAAATTGTATCATCATACTCACCTTGCAGCATTTTTCAATTGAAATTAAAAGTCACGTAGGCATGCTAACCGATGGACAACAAAGAAATTTTACTACGAGTCAAATATTGAAGTTAATAACTTCACATATTCTTACATAATAAATTAAATTTTTAATATGTTCTTATTTATTAAAATAAACAAATTATATTTTTATTATTTAAGCAAGTTTTTAATATATCATTTATGTCAATTTTTTCAATTAAATCATCTGAAAAAATCACATGACCTGTACATGATTTTTTCTTTAATGAAAATGTCTCTCGAAGTTTAATATATTAAATTTTCAATCTATTTTTACATAATAAATTGAGCTCTCAATCTGTCTTTAATGCTCAAAGTCTATTATATTAGTTTTAATAGTTTTTCTAATATTGTATTACACTATAGTGAATTTTTTGTTAATTAAAAAAATATATAAATAATTAGTACATGTTAGTATGTGATTGTTCAAAGAATTGCTATTTAATATATTTTAATGCTAAATAGTTAATTATATTATTGTTGTTATAATAATTCATTTGCGTATAATAGTGAATAAATCGATATAGTATTTATTAATATATTAAATCATTTCTATAGAAGAAAATTTAATAATCATGTGCTAAAAACAAATAATTGTTACGTAAAGGATTGTTAATTAGTCTCTTAAGCATGTAGTTAAAAAAGCAAACAATTACATTTAAATAATTGTTAATTGGTCTTTTAAACATGTAATTAAAAAAATCATTACATTTAAATAATTATTAATTAGACTCTTTAGTATTAAAAACATGTTAAATGACAATTCATTAAAAACTTACATATTAACTTATACTGGTTATTTTTATATGTTTTTCATTATAAAAAAGTCATTATAGTCCAACACATTATCAGAAAAATTATTAACAATAATATAATGAATTCTTTAGCTTTAATGATAGATTAGAAACTCAATCCACTATATAAAAATAAATTCAAAACCTAAAATATTAAGCTGCAATTAATATTTTTGTTAAATAAAAGATTATGTACAGATCATATGATATTTTTAGATAATTTGATCAAAAAAATTAAGCTAAAGAATATATTAAAAACTTATTTAATTAATATAAACACAATTAGTTTATTTTAAGATATAAAAACAGATTAAAAATTAAGCTCATTATATAAGAACATGTCATTCTATTAATCCCAAATATAGTTGGTAAAGTGGTTCATAGACCTAACATTCTTGGTAAGAAACAAGTGATCCTATAGCCAAAGTTAACACCCTTGCTGGATAAGTACTGCAAGAACTACGCCAATCAACATGTGGACTTGCAAGTGATTTATTGATCATATTATAGAAGCTTGTACGTCAAACCTTCACACGCTAGACCTGCCGTTGGAACTTTTAGTTATTTATTTCTGAGACTCCAGCTACAAAAATCATGTAGCGACAAGGAAGACATTCGCCATCCAATGCACCGCGATTCAGAGATTTTATGCTGATGAACATGAAGGGAAATGAAACAGCCTCTGTTGAGAGATAAATCATCAGAGCTGAAAGAGGGCTAAAAATTCCAAACTTTCTAAATTCCAGTCTATTTAAAAATTAATCTCTAAACTTTTAATTTGTGTTTTGAACTCCTAATTTCTTTTTTTTAAAAAAAATTAATCTATCATTCAATTTTCTGCCATATATATATATAATTTCATAATAGAAATCATTTAGTGAGATATATCTACAAATTCTTAAAAATTTTAAGATCATTCTAGGTTATTTTCTATATTTTGAAGGTTAAAAAAATAAACAAATATAATTCCTAATCTTAAAAAATTCTAAAATTTCACTAGAAAATGGATTAAAATTTTCTCAATGCATATGCAAAATTTCATATCAAAACACCAAGAATTGAATTTTTAGAAAAAAAGAATGTCAGTTGAAAATCATCGGATGAACTAAATAAAAAAATAAAAAATAAAAAATATCAAGATATAAATTAAAAGTTTAAAAACTAATTTTTAAATCAACTAAACTTCACGGGAGGTTTGACCCTTTTTAAACCCAAAAAGTTGATGCTTATGTACCTGCAAAACAATAAACCAAATAGAGGATTGTTGATTCACTTTGTTCTTCTACTGACGCATAAAAAACTCAATCACTCACAACAGTCTAGATAAACTGTAAAGTGGGTCCCCAAACTCCAGTTGTTAACAACGAAGCCGAATTAAGAGACCAGTTTGGGAAATAAAACTAGCTTTGCTACATGAATACCAAGCTTGCAATCCGTATTCTTATATCCAATTAGTTTCCTTTGCAGCATGGTACCATCAGATAGCTCTTTAAAAGATGAAAAAACCAGTAAGTAAAGGGCGGCCAATTCTGATTTCAAACCGATTTAATGTTTTCCAGGCTCTATGTATCAAACTCCCATATGATGCCTCCATCCTCTGAAATACCAGAACAAACATATACCATCCGAAAGCTCTGGTGAAATTGTAGATGGAGAAAGTATACGGTAGAGACACAACCTTCACAACCAAAATTTTCTCATGCTTATAGTGTTAAAGCTGGCAGCCTGGCAGTATTTTCAGATGTTTTTGGCACAATCTTTACTGAAACCTTAGTTAACTACTAAGACAAAAGACACCGATTTCAAAAAACTTAAGGTTTTCTTCAGAATTCCTTAAAGAATCTTTGCCAACATAACCTGTTAAATAAATAACAATACGAATCGTCATCATTCTAGCAACAGTCATCCGTGTTGCATTCATTCATTTAGCATGTACTAGACCATAAATCCCAACTATACAACGTCTTAGAGTTGCTAGCTATTACCATCTCTTTTCTTTTTGCACTTTCTTATCTCTTTGAATCTAATAGATAAGATGGCTAGATACAAGCCATCAAGTAGAGCATTTACCTAAGAATGTTTTTACCATCCCTCATTTCTTACTTCCTTTTCTCATCCAATGTCACGGTTAAGAGATATTAACTAAAACAGTTCCACAGTTAAGAAACCTAAATTATGAGTCTAAGTGTAATATTACCTTTCACTTTCTTGTTTATACACCTCCAACAGCATGCCAGCACCAACACCACCTGCAATCCACGCTCCATAGAAGGCAATGGCAGATGGTAGAGGCATTCGAGGAAGGAAATAGTAGTCTGGAATTTGCCTAATCTTTTTCGGAAGCCGCTTCTTTATAACTGGTTTAGCGGCAAGGCCAGGATGCTTTTGTAGTTCACCACCTATGGCCCTCTAGTCAACCCCCCTGAATGGATCTTTTGGCTCTTCAGTTCCCATGACGATATAGCAAAATGCTTCGCATCTCAATTCTATTTAAGAATGCAATGTGATCCAAAAGGCTTAGTGAAACAGAAACCCAAAATCAAAGAATACAGATAATTTAGAAAGAAAAAAGCCCAATTCAAACACAGAATATATATACAGCTCTCAAGTTCAAAAATTTTGTTCATTATGTAGCTATTTTCTTATTTTAAAACTATCATTGAGTATTTGATTTGCCGTTTTCTTTTATTTGCTCACAGCTGCATTGCTCGATTAAATTTCATACTTCATCATAACTAGATAAAAAATCATATCTAGCGTATAAACCCAATTTAAGAATCATTTAAACCATAAACCTTAGTCCCTTCCTGCTTAAATTCCAAACTTTAAATCGTTAATCTCCAGCCCTAATTGCACACAAAAAAAAAAAAAATCCAACATAAGAAACTAGCCTCCAGATTAACAAGGCAGTATGCAGCTCAGCAGCTGATGTTAATTACATCTACAATCACCTTTGACAGATTCGCTAGATACAATCAAAGGAAAAGAAAATTCCAGTGACAGAGAAATAGGATTTCTCTGTCTAAGAAAGCGAAGATGCTCATAAAAACAGGAGTAAAACACACCGTTTGATTAATAAAAATGGCATGACCAGTAATTTAAATAGAATAGAAAGGGTTTTTGAGTATATTTGACAGTGACAAACAGATAGCCACTAATTACAGCACTACCCAGAAGCAGTGATTGCTGAGGAATGAAGCAAAGCATCGTGTTCTTATAGAGCGTAAAAAGAAAGGAAGAGAAGTCAGTAAGAGAACAGCACACTAAACCTTGACTATAGTAGGTAGTGTTGACGGATTTTGTGTCTGTTTCTGCCTTTTTTCTTTGTAAAGCTTGCTGTTAAATTAAAATACCCGAACTGCTCATCATTAGAAGTCTCTTCCAAGCCACCAGCATTCATTACCACCACCTCCACCGTTAATAATTAAGCCCTCGTGCCAGAAAAGAAAAACTTATTAATTTTGCAACTCAATTTATCCAAAACCATGCAATGTGAATCGAAACAAAGCCACTTTCAGCTCTCTTTTCAATCGTAGAGACTTAACTGTATTGTGGACTATTGCTTTGTTTTGTAAATATGTTGAGCCTAGTCTCTGCAAAAACCACGCCCAATGCCACACCACAGCACATTTCCTTTCCCCAAAACGACAATCACATACAAAAAAATGGCAATAAAACTCCATCTTCGCTACTAAAACGAACTCCATCACCCTCTTTCTCCAAACCAAAAATCAAACCTTCTAAAAAGACACTGCAAGAGCTATGCGCCGATGAGTCGTCTCTTGATAACCCAGATCTTGGTCCCTTTTTATTAAAGCTTGCGATAGAGACCGTTGCTTCTGGTGATAACGAGAATAAGGCCTTGGATTATGCCACCCGAGCGTCAACATCGTTTGAGATATCCTCGGGTCCGGGTCTGGACCTGGCTTTGAGCTTGCAAGTGGAAGCGGCGATCTATTGCAGCCTGGGCCAATTGGAGGATGCAATTCCGATTCTAGAACGGTCTATTGAGGCTCTGGATCATAAAAACGGGTCGGATCATGTGATGGCGAAGTTTTCTGGGTTCATGCAGCTTGGTGACACGTATTCTACGCTAGGGCGAGTAGACCGATCCATATCATCTTATGAGTCGGGTTTAAAGATCCAAATTGAGAGATTCGGGGATTTGGATCCAAAAGTTGCTGAAACTTGCAGGTAATAATAGCCTTTTATTAGGCAGGGCCCTTCCTTTTTTGGGCTTTATTTAGTCTTTTGCTCTGTGGTTTGCTAACGTCCACTGCTATTTATTCGGGGATACGTTAGTGTAGGCCAATAGGCTAACCTAATGGGTCCCGTTTTCAACAAATCCACCTATAAAATGTACCCAAGCGATTCAATTAAAATTCTGTTGTGCAATTTTAACTAGCTTCTAAGTTAACAGAAATAAATTTGTTACTTGTAGTAATTATTAAATATATACAGTGTGCTTGCCGTGAAACTTATTTTAACAGTGACAATGGCAGGTACTTAGCTGAGGCTTATGTTCAAGCAATGCGGTTTGATGAGGCAGAAAAACTATGCCAAAAGAGCCTTGAAATTCACAGGAAGCATAACGCGCCAGCATCACTGGAAGAGGCAGGTGATCGCCGGCTTATGGCTCTTATTTATGAAGCAAAGGGGGACTATGAATCTGCGCTTGAGCACCTTGTTCTTGCTAGCATGGTGATGATTGCAGCTGGTCGGGAAAATGAAGTTTCTGCTATTGATGTTAGCATTGGCAATATATATGTGTCCCTTTGTCGCTTTGACGAAGCCATTTTTTCCTACCAAAAAGCCTTAACAGTCTTTAAATCCACGAGGGGAGATGATCACTCTTCTGTCGCAGCAGTCTATATTCGCTTGGCAGATGTGTATTACAAGACAGGCAAGCTAAGAGACTCCAAATCATACTGTGAGAATGCCCTGAGAATACTTTCCAAGCCAGTGCCTGGAATTGCAACTGAGGAGATTGCTAATGGGTTGACTGAAATCTCAGCCATCTATGAAGCTTTAAATAAGCATGAGGAAGCGTTGAAGCTCTTGAACATGGCAATGAAGTTATTGAAGGACACCCCAGGGCAGCGTAGCATGATTGCGGGGATAGAAGCACAAATGGGGGTGATGTTTTACAAGATTAGAAGGTATGGAGAGGCTCGAAGCTCCTTTGAAAATGCTGTAGCAAAACTCCGGGCCAGTGGGGATACTAGATCAGTCTTCTTTGGGATCATGTTAAACCAGATGGGATTGGCTAGTGTGCAACTGTACAGGATAGATGAGGCTGTTGAATGTTTTGAAGAAGCTAAACAAATTTTAGAGCAGGAATGTGGCTCATGTGACATAGATACCCTTGGAGTGTATAGCAATCTCGCAGCAACTTATGATGCTATGGGGAGGTGAGAATTCTTTTGTATTCATCCCAAGATCTTTTTTACCTTGTTATGAACATCTGCAGCTTCTTGTTGTTATCTATCGCAGTCACTTGTCTGGTTTTATTATAATGTCATTTTATCAGAACCAGACAAACCTCTTCGTATTTCTACATAACCTGGTAATCATTTTGCGTAGGCTGATTTTGATAAATGGCACGCATAGGCTCTAAACGGGATAACACTCACCCTTGCTACTGTTCACAGAAGTTGCCTACAAGGAATAACAATCGTTTTTCTTTTCCCCTTAATATCTACTCCAGATGTTTTTAGGTTGTCATGAAATCCTCATTTTTTGCTTGGAAAAATATTCAGCCTGACTTTTTGTGACCTATTTATGTTTATGATATTTTTCTATGGCACGTTTTGGTCTGGACCATCTATTCCCTCATCTTACATGCTGGGCGATCCTTGAAGCCACTGTGTATTTACTTAATTTTATATGGCATAATGCATTGCAAAAAGTCCAGAAAATCCCTGATGTGAGTTTCAGTGGGTTAGCTAATTGGGAAAATTGTGTGTGCGCGTTGATCACACGTAAGGATTCAATTTTTGTGATTACATTTAAAGCACAAGTTGAGATTCCTCTGTCGTTGGAGGCAATGTACTAAATGGAGAATTACGGTAAACTTTACAGGGTAGAAGATGCAACTGTGATATTGGAGTACATACTCAGGTTGAGAGAAGAAAAACTCGGAACAGCAAATCCAGAAGTTGCTGATGAGAAGAGAAGGCTAGTCGTGCTATTGAAGGAAGCAGGGAGGGCTAGGATCAGGAAAGGCAATTCTCTTGTAAATCTCCTAGATTCCAGCTCCTAGAGGATGAAGGAGGAGACTTCAAAGAAACGGTCTGGATTTGATTTCAGAACTTGTCTAGGAATCTCACTCCTACACTTTGTTCTACTTAACTGCTTGTAATATAGAAGATCATGACATAAAGTAAATATTTAGTGGAGTCTTCTTGTTTATTGGGATTCCCTCTTTAACAATTTGTTTCTTAGGTAATTTCCTTGTTCATTCTAATATTTTGTCCTCCGATCACCAAATGAAATCTCAGATTTATTGAGTCAGTAAGTTTTAGTACTTGCTTGTCATATTTTCAAATGTGGTGGACGTTTCTTGTTCTTCTATTTGTTGAAGCAGAAGATAGAGCAAGTAGCTTGAAGAAGTTTACCTCTGATGATTCTAGGATATACATGCCATTCAAAATTAGATTGATCGTTACTTTATTAGACTGTAGGCTCTACCATTAATTATCAATCACCTTATGGAGCCTCTTTTCTGAGTTACTCTGATATCATCCTTTTCTTTTTCGTTGGAAGATCCCAAGAGGCCTTTCTTTTCCCTTTTGTTCTGCAGCAAGTAGCAACACTAAAATGCTCTTTGTTCCACTCGTAGTGTAGAATTAGTGAATTGCAAGTTCAGGTTACCCGCGAGCATTTCTTTCACCTTCTTTCATTCTTCACATGATTACATCATTCCACGCAGCAAAAGGAGTGGCGCCACCTTTCTCATGCTTTCAGTTTCAGAGCCTAAATGGCAATCAACTATGAGGTAGAGATCCGATACATCAAAAATAATTTTCTTTTAAAGACCAATTCAAATTCCAGGTTGAAGAATTCTATGTTTTGTATACGTGACCATTTACCAAAACGAAAATAAATTCATGAGCAATTGTGAGTTTCACGAGTCCAAAACTCGAGCTCAATTTTTGCTTTTAAAGTTTTTCTGTTAAATTCACTATTCAAACAACTTTGTGTTTTCCATTGAGTCTTAGAGTTTCCAATTAAGTAATTATTAAAAAAATATTCCGCGTTGATTAACGTTATCCATTGATGTTTTCTATTAAACAAAACTAACAGAAATACTCGTGGTTTTTTTTTTTTTTCCAGTTTTCTAGGAAATATAAATTTAAAGAAAACATGTTTATGAATTGAAAATAAAAAAAAATTATTTTTGTGAAATTGAGTTTTTTCTATTTCTTCGATCCAGAAAAACATAAAAAAATGTTATTTTCTAAATTCTTCACTATCATCTTTTTTTTTTTATGTTTATTTCTTCTATAGTTTTTAACATATAAGCCAAACAAATTTTTTGTTTTCTGTTTTCAAAAATTTGTATTTAATAAACATGTTTCTAATTTTTCATGAAGAAATATTTTTAGAATAAAAAAGACTAAAGATAAAACTAAAAACTATTTTTTTATAAATAAACCCGATATGTTGATTTAAGAAAAAGAGAGAGAGATAAAAAACTATCTAAACCTTTTTTTAAGAAAAAAAATAATAAGTACAAATTTATGATTGAATTTGTTGCAAACTTTCAAATAAGTTCATTTGTAAATATTATGATCGCTACAAATTTTCAAACTAATTCACAAGCTTAAAATAGTTAAAGCTTGACTTTATAGAATGATTTTTTAAAATAAGCTCAAGATTAACTCATTATCCTTAATAAACAAAGCTTAAGCAACGCTTCGATGACTTGAAATCAACAAGAAGCTCGTCTCATTTGCACATTGCAGTCCTAAAAAACTGCATCATATTGATTGACCAGAGATATTTTATAAGGGTACCATCGTTCTAATTTAATACTTTGAAAACTTAATTAAAATTACTAATACACTATAAGGACTTATCTATAATTTGCCTTTGTCCAATACAAACGGCAAAACATCGAAACAGCAATCAACAAATATTATGCACAGACCCTTCACGGCTCTCTCAAATTCTCACTCTACCCTGCATCACAGGCGAAACCAAAATGCCCGAAACAAGCACTACCTCTCCTAGTCAAGCTCCAATTAACCCCACCGATCACCTACCTCTATCTCTCTTCAGATCCGACACCATTCCACCCGCCCCAACCCGATCCACTTCCACCATCGACTGGTTACCTGACTTTTCCGGTTACTCATGGGTCGCGTATGGAGCCTCCTCTCTATTAGTGATCTCTCACTTACCCTCTCCACTCTCTCCCGAAGAAACCGCTATCGGTCCCATTCTCCGGCAAGTTTTCGAGCTCTCCGGCGACAATTTGTCGCCTGTCAATGCCGTTTCCTGGTCTCCGGTGACTCCGTCTGTAGGTGAGCTTGCGGCCGCATCAGATAACTGTATCTCCGTGCTCGTGCATGATTCAACGAGCTTCAAAGGTAAGTTGCGAAGTTGAAATTTGATTTTCTTTTCGGTTGCTGATAAAATGGAGCAAAAGGAATGAATTGAACTGTAATAGGAACTTTAAAGTGTGCATTTTTCGCAATGTAGACAGCAAGTATTCGATTATAATTTGATAAGACCATACTTGCATTCAATATTATTTATTGTGTAATAATTATGATTTTTAATTGTACCAGTAGCACTGGACTCTGTCATTGTTATGTATCTGCAACTTTTTTAATTTTTGATGTTGTAAATATGAATTAAAATCTTTTACTCATATTCACGTTCTTTTTGTTGGAGTCAGAAATGAATTAAAATCTTTTACTCATATTCAGGTTCTTTTTGTTGGAGTCAGAATGCAGTGCTTGTACAATCTACAAAGGTGGGAGCAATCAAATGGACAGGTTCCGGGGATGGGATAATTTCTGGTGGAATTGATGTGGTTTTGTGGAGGAGGAGGAACATGTCGTGGGAAATAGCTTGGAAGTTTAAAAGAGACGTGCCTCAAAATCTGGTTTCGGCTACTTGGTCAATTGAGGGACCTTCAGCAACTGCAGCTTATCTGAGTGAAGTAGATGTTAAAGGATCTGACCAGACAAGAAATTGTGTGCTAGTGTGTTATGGTGATAGAACATCTGAGTATGTGAAATCTGAGTTGCATCACCCTCAGCCTGTCTCAATGATTCAGTGGAGGCCATCAACAGGACGACAAACACGGCGAGATGAGAAACATTTGCCTAGGCATGTGCTAATAACATGCTGCTTAGATGGAACACTAAGACTATGGACTGAGGTAGACAGTGGAAAGGTTAGAAAGTTAGCCAAGGACAATCGTGATCACAAAATAGTGAGAAAGTCCTTTTGCGTTGCTGCTGTAATTGAGATAAACCAGGTCTTAAAGGGAACTCTGGGCATGGATGTATTTTTTAGTTGGGCAACAGAAATTGGGGGTATACATGGAATTGGAGAAGGTATTTGTCAGACCTTTTCAATAGAAGGAAATGGGCATGACAGAGTTGGCAGATGTGAGTGGTTAATTGGGTTTGGTCCAGGCAGAGGAATTACTTTTTGGGCCATCCACTGTCTTGATGATATCTCACCCTTAAGGTTTCCTCGTGTTACTTTATGGAAGACACAGCAACTACAGGATCTTGAAGCAGGACGTCTTCATGGAGCTGGTCTTGCAGATTTCAAGGACTGGTTACTTCTGGATAAGGTTGTTGTCTTGAGGAACTGCTTGTCTGGCCCACCAAATATATGCTGTTTGATGCATCTGTCACCTTGTAATTTCTTGGTCAGGTCTTTGTTATATACCCAAAAATCCAGTAATATAGAGGATGCATCTTTTAACAAATCCAAGATAGATAAATACCTATCATGTTCAGCTGGTGGTGTTTTAAATGGAGGTCATACAGGAAAAATACTACAAGTTGCAATGCACCCTCTTATTTATGAAGTTGAACTGGCTGTTTCTTTGGATTCAAATGGACTACTTCTATTTTGGATGGTTTCTACCATTTCAAACTCCAATTTCGGCCCTGCAGAACTGATACCCAGATGGAAACTTTCTGGTAAACTTGCAACTTATGATTCGTGTTCTAAATATACAAGCTTGAGGTGGGCACCTTCTACATTGGGTGAAGACCATGTTCTTCTTGTGGGACATGCAGGTGGAATTGATTGCTTTATAGTTAAGGTTTCTCAAATTTGCGAAGAAGGCATAATATGCCACTACATATGCACTATACCCCTAACTGGTCATGGTCCGTATGAGGATGGTCCCACCAATATCTTTGCAGTACCCCTGCCTTCTTCTTGCAATAAGATGTTTAGGTACAATAAATTTTTGCTTTTGGGGGTATGGATGAAAGGTTTTCAACCAATTTCATGGGAAATTACTTTACATTCTTATCACTTGTCAGGAAGCTGCTGTGACTGTAAGTTTGATGGTAAAGATACTCCTTTCGCGCTGAATTTTGAAAATACTTTTGCTGATAGAAGATATTGTGTTGGTGTCAATCCTTGCTCATCACACTTACCAGAGCCACACTGTCATGACCAGATTACAAGTTTTTCTGTGGTATGCCCAGGAGATTTCGTTTCTATGCCAGAAAGCTTAGGTTCTGACAAAGATCCATCCTCTGGTGGTCCTGCATATATCATGGCAACAGGTTGCTCTGATGGTAGTTTGAAACTGTGGAGAAGTAACTCTTCTAAACAGTCAGCTCCTCACACACCATGGGAGCTTGTGGGCAAGTTTGTTGCACATCAAGGTCCGGTTCGTGCTATATGTTTGACTGATTGTGGTAGGAAGATTGCAACCGTCTCTGCAGGTAGTCATCTGGCTGGTTCCAGCATTCTTCACATATGGGAAGTTGTACACCTTATAGGGGCTGGAAGTTTCATATTAGAAGACAGTTTAGCTATTGGAAAAGATGTTGTTTCTTTAAATTGGCTAACTTTAGGCAATGGTCAGTTTTTTCTTGGGATTTGCATGCAGAATGAGTTGCAGGTATATGCTCAAAAGCATTACGGTGGTCAGACTTTGTTGAGCCCTAAACCTTTGAACCTCCATAGCTGGTATTGCATTGCAGTTTCTCATACTTTCCCTGCTATTCGTGACTTCCTTTGGGGGCCCAATGCCACAGCTATTGTTGTCCATGATAGTTACATTAGTCTATTTAGTCAATGGTTATTTCTTGAAGATGTAGATGATACACAACGAGGCAAATGTCTTCCAAATGTTATCAGGGAGGGTTATGAAGGTAGAAAAGACAAGGAGGTCCTTTCTTGCATGTTCACAGACCGTGAAATTGATCTTGAAAAAGCATCAAACGAAGGTAGTAGTAGAGGGCACAAATCCCCAAGTCACGAGAAACTTGATGCAAAAAATGATTGCTCAACAAGCAGTTTGTTTGTAGCCATGGCTCAACTCAAACATCATTCAAATGCTGTGCAAGGGATTTGGAGTCTGGTAGAACTAGCAGAGAAGTTAAGGGGGACTTTAGCTGTTTATCACCCTGAGGCACTCATTATGAACGTATATTCAGGTACCTAAGGATAGTTATTTATATCATCTCAATCCATTTGAATTCTTATAATTCAGAAATTTGACTGAGATATTGCATGAATGGTTAGAATTGGAGTAATGATAGCTTTTTTAATTAAATCATTTTGGAAGCTATTTGAGAATCTAAGTTGGCTTCTTTTACTTCGTTTAAGCTGTTGATGACCTTCCATTTAATACAAGTAATCTCTGATGTGTTTAGGAAATTGGAAACGTGCATATGTATCTGTCAGGCATCTTGTTGAATATCTTGCTTCAGGCAGTGTTGCTGAGAGGAGATACAATTCTGCAAATTATAGCAATATTGTCCCGCAGATCCTTTTGTCAAATTATTTTGAGGGATTTCTCTTGAAAGATTCAAGTTCAACTAATAAGGGGTTTCAATGGAATGCTGAGGCAAGATTGCCAACTTCATCTTCACAGTTTTTTGTGTATAATTCCACCTCTGACGCATCTAATAATATGTTTGGTGTATCTTCAACAAAATCTGAACTTAGTGCTTTTGCTGAAACTCTTGAGAAGTATGATTTTGAGGCCTTAACCAATATAGAGAAGTCAAAAATGCTTGCAATTATAGATCTTCTCAGTGATGTTCAGCATTCTGCTCGTGCCTATGAAAATCTTGATGAACCTGGGCGAAGGTATTTCTGAATTTCATTGATGGCTTTGTTTATACAATATTTCCTCAGGGGTTTATGTATCTAATGATTGTTTATCATGCCCCTGGTAGTAAAGGTTTGGTTGCTCCATATCTTGGTTTGAATCTTGTCTAACAAAATTTGTATTTATGTTTAAATATCACGTAGAGATAGCATAATGTTGGTTGATCGATTAGGGAAGGAAAGGCATTGGGATAATCCATTTTAATTTTGGTGTGGCCAGGAAGATAGCAATGCTTGCACTTTACAAAAATAAAAAATTCTGGCCTAAGAAGCTAGATTACTGTCTAGTTCTGGATACATAATTGGTGTGAAATGCTACTTATACGGCACTGTTTACTGTACAATAGAAATTACTTGAAGTAGCATATGGAATCTGCTCAGCAAAAAGGTAGATGAAAATAGTTTATGGCAGAACACAATTCCAAGAGTGATCTTTCACCTATGGTGCCTGTTTCTCGTTTATATTTATTAGGGCAATACTGAATCATCTGATTCTCTCCTGACTGCCTGTAATACTGATTTTATTCTCTTGTTCCTTTCTAGGTTTTGGGTCACATTAAGGTTTCAGCAGTTACTTTTTTTTCGAAGCTTTGGTAGGTCTCCTTCCATGGAAGAGTTGGTTGGTGACTCGAGGCTGATGAGCTGGGCCTTTCATTCTGACTGTCAAGAAAATTTATTGAGTTCTTTTCTTCCTATTGAACCATCGTGGAAAGAAATGCAGGCTCTTGGGTTTGGATTCTGGTTCACTAATGTTGCACAACTGCGTACAAGGGTAATGCTTCGAGATGTTGTTTCCTTATTCTTCATGTTAGGAAAGGAACTTCTCTTGCCTTTCAACTGTAACTCTGTAAGAGAAAGTTCTGTACAATGTCATATGCAACATTATTTGGGCCACAATATTGGTTCTGCCACTTTGCAGTAGTTGTGCTTGAGCATGCATCCATTGAAGTTCATGTCAATCAGGTCAACTATTAGTAGTCGAGCAAACAAATAACTGCAACACCCGAAATGCTGACTTTATACCAAGGGATCGACCTACTCCCTGATTCCATAGGCAATCCAGACCAAGATTTCCAAGGTGTATGATTGACATTGATGCAAATTTGAGATTTCGTCTTTAAAGAGGATCAGCCTGCATAATATGGAAATGTCTTTAAGTCTATTTGCATTGGTGATGATTAATTCACCATGGGTGACATTTTTCTTTTGTGCAATTTCTCAATCTGTGTTGCAACTGCAGTTGTAAAGTTCAAATGTTATGTGCCACATATTCTTTTCAAATACATTTGAAGACTTTGCAGATGAACAGCTACTGTTGCAATTGAATAATATAGATTGCAAATAATGAACAATTCCTAATTTATTTTGATCAATGCGTTCAAAAACAATTTTACTGTTAAGTGGTTTTTCTAATGAATTAGTTTTTCCAACCCCTCATCTTTGGCTCTGTGCTTGTGACTTTGTCTGCACAACTTTTTTTGGATGTGTTTTTTGTACTGATCCTGGTTATTCTACTGCAGATGGAGAAATTGGCTAGATTACAATATCTGAGGAAAAAAGATCCCAAAGATTGTACTCTTTTGTACATAGTGTTGAATAGACTTCAAGTATTGGCTGGTCTTTTTAAAATCAGCAAAGATGAAAAAGATAAACCCTTGGTTGCATTTCTCTCCCGCAATTTTCAGGTATGTGCAAATGACATGGCTTCCTCAGCTTGTGATATAATTGCTGAGTTAGTTCAGAAGTCAGAGGTCCTCTCCAATTCAACAAAAAAAGGAAAAAAAAAGATTGGGAAAAGCCAGAGAAAAGATCAAAAGGATTTATACAGAGAATCTCTCATTTATGCCACCTTCATGCAACATCGTCTTTCTTGTGATTTGCTTGACCATTTAGATGGACATTCAGATATAATAGTCATGTTTTATAGATGCATAATTACTCCACATAAATGCTCATATATATTCTGTCAGCTTCAATATTTTTCTCTTACGAAGTTTCAGTCTTTTGCTCTCTGATTTATTTATTTTTTTGGTTGCTATGAACATCTTTTGGTGGAATGCAGTATGCTACACCAAAAGGGGAAAAATATCAGCTATCTTTTAATTTGCTTTAACCTTTGTCACAGGAGGAGAAAAATAAAGCAGCTGCTTTGAAAAATGCTTATGTCTTAATGGGAAGACATCAGCTGGAGTTGGCCATTGCTTTCTTTCTGCTAGGAGGTGATACTTATTCCGCTATCACCGTTTGTGCGAAGAATTTTGGAGATGAACAGCTTGCCCTTGTAATTTGTAGGCTTATTGAGGGTCGTGGTGGACCATTGGAACAGCATTTAACTACAAAGTTTATACTTCCATCTGCATGTGAGAGAGGCGATTACTGGCTTGCAAGCCTGCTACAGGTCCCTGGATTATGAATCTCAACCTTGTCTTTTTCCTTTTTTGGCCTCTTTAGACACTTTTCATATAGCTGCAAGCATGACATCTCCCCAATTTTCTGATTTTGTAATTTGTTTGCAGTGGGAATTGGGCAATTATTCTCAGTCTTTTCTGAGCATGCTTGGTCTCCAAGCAAACTCCATGATTGACAAGTCTGCTCTTTCATCAAATAATGCTGCTGCTTTTATGGACCCCCATATTGGTCTACATTGCCTTTCACTAGCATCCAAAAATAGCCTGAGGAACGCTGTTGGGGAGCAAAATGCTGTAATTCTTGGTAGGTGGGCTACTATTATGGCAGCTACTGCCTTCGAAAGATTTGGCCTTCCTGTAAGTTCACTTTACATTTTATGTTGTATTTTATACTGTAACAGACTGTTGAGTCTTTCATGCATAAATATTTGATTGTTGTCTAACTGCTAGTGTGTTTTGCCATTTTACTTTCTATGTATTTGCCTCTTCTATCACTTTCGATGGAGGCATGCGAAAGGATATTACTTTGACACACGTACCAGTTGCACTGGCCTTACGAAGGCTGGGGCAGAGAATTATATTTTCTGCAATTGCTCTTATTTTTTTATAGTTTGTAATTTAATTATGTCTAAGGTCTTCTGTGCATTTCTAATAGTCTTGAGAATGTACTCTTTTGGTTAGTTTAATTAGGACACCGAATTCTAGAGGACAATAGTCTAATAGTTGCTACAAATGCTATTTAATCTTGGATCTGTATCTGAAAGCAGGTGTCATTGTTTTCTCTTTGTCTTCTCATCTCTCCACTGATTCTTGTTCACACACGTATTTTCTTTCTACTCTTTTTTCTCCAATTTTGCAATTATTCCTGGTGCTGTTCATAGCTCCCAGACTAGCATGCTAGTTCCATTTTATTCTCCTTGTTATTCAACTTGAATTCTTACCCCATTGCTTCACTTCTGCAAAACCCACCAAAATATTTTCTTGGTCTTACCTGTTGATTATTCCAATCAAATCCAACCATCAATAATTTTTTGCTGCCAGAAAATTCTGGAAACCCGCCCTACTCTCATATTTCCAGCCATAACATGGTGACTTTTTACCTTCGAACCTCACCTATTCAATTGCCTATTGAACATATAAACGCTCAAGCCTTTCTTCTTTAACTCTAAGCCTTTTAAATCATCAACTTTGCAAATCCTAGCTAACAGAAAGCAAGCAAGGGCAAATTTCTCAGAGTTTTCCTACTTTAACTTCTGTTGCATGTATTCGATCTGCATCTGTTGGTTTAAAGGCTGATATCCAAAACTTGTTCCAGTTGCCAAATCATTATGGTTTTTGCCCAGCCATAAACAAAAGTCATCCATTGCACATATTTGTATTTGATAATATATAGATGTGCGTCCATTATTCACTTTTTGGGAGTGTTACTATTTATAAATGCTTCCTTTTCATTTATATTTTTGGATGGGAATGGGGAGAGGAAGGCAAAAGGTTTTTAAAGGTAAGTAAAGGAAGGGAATGGTAGGGTTAACACCTTTTGCTTGTTTGATATTCAGGGTGAGAGAGGGGAAGGGAAGGAAATGGAGGGGTTAACATGGGGGAAAAAAAGGTTAATTGTTGTATTACAAAAATAACTTGATGGGAGAAGGAAGTTAATTTTTAATTTTTAATTAAGAATACTTCTGTTATTCGATAATTTTAACCCCTGTAAACCTTTGATGTGGAAGGTTAAGAATTTTTTATTTTTTGAAGGGTTTGAACCCTCTGAAACTCCACCTTTCCCTCTATTATGGGCAAGAGTAAACAAGGGTTGGGGGTACCCCACCTTTTCATTCCCTCGGACCAAATATAGTGTAATAGATGCACCAAACAATCCTTGACTTTTTGCAAAGGAATTTAGAGCTATGATGTCCACTTAGACTTGCCAAAGCTATTCTACGTTATTTTAAATAGTAAAAGTTTAACTACATCAACTTACAGTTTGAACAGTTCAGTATTTTCTAGTAGCTTGTTGCATGCGTCTGTGTTGTGAAATATCTGATTAATTGTAGAATTTATATTCCTCATTGTAAGGTTGGAAGCTTTGCAGAGCCTTTGTTCTGTGCCATGATGTTTCTGCATGTTCTTGGATACTTTTTTGTTTGTTGCAATGATTATTTTTATCATCATCATTATTATTGGGTGTGCATGTGAATTTGTTTTCTTGTACTTCTAATGGTAATTTGATGAATATCTATTAATATCAGCTTGAAGCTTTGGAGTGCCTTTCATCTTCTCTGAACATTCTTGGGGGTATGGATCCAGGAAGTGTATCAGACGTTGATCAGTCTCAAATATTACCTGGCATTTTGAATCCAGTAGCCAGTGAATCCTGTAACTGGCTGTCAGGCGATGTGGCTTTGCGTCTGCAGTCCCATAGTAAATTAGATTTGGCTCTTCAGTATTTTTCAAAATTGATGAGGGAGCATCCTAGTTGGCCTAATACTGCAGTAGGATCTGTTCAACCTGGCACATCCTCCAAGGATTGTGAAATTCACCAACATGAGAAATCAGTAGAAGAATTTCGAGAAATATTATATACAGGACTTTCAAAGTTTGAGCAGAAGTTTTTGGTGGTTCCTTCCTGCGTGATCAAAATGGTGTGTAGTTTGCAGTGTCTAATAGTTGTACCTTCTCATCAAGTCATCTGACTTCTTCTCCCTTTCTTTTTCTGTCCCCTGGTGGCTAATTTTGTTTTATCTCTGTTTTACAGATTTTAGTCTGGGTATGCAGTAATGGATTACCATTTATTGGGTATGACATCATAGTTGACTATGCTTCTCGAAACCATTCACAAGATAAGAGCAATAGTGTTGGAATTTTCAGCTTATATCCTCTTCTGCATAAGCCATGTCTGAAATCTATGGAAGATATTTCCCTTTACCTTTCAAGATTTATTACTTCCTGCAACTTAACATGCTTTCAACCTAAACCATTTTATATTGAAGGAACTATGCCTGTTGAAGTTAAATCCTTCTGGTCAGATGTGCATGGGTTTTACTTTCAGGGTATCATGCAGGCATTGTGGAGTTTAAGAGCTGCTATGAGAATTTTTTCCAGCTCAGAAGATGTCACAAGGTCCCTTGTTATTCTTGATTTATTTGAGTATTATATTTATGTTGCATCTGCATGGCTTCAGCGAAAATCTAAAGGTCTATTGTTGATGGTAGAACCCCTCTTGATAACTTTGACTAATGGGCACACGCCTTATGAAGTTGATATTGCGAATCTCAAGAGCATTCTCCACCACATTGCAGAGTTGCCATGTAGTCTGTCAATGGATGGTGCAGGAGCAGGACATGAGGTTATTAAATGTTCATCAGATGAGCAAGATGGACAAACAATGCTATCATTCTCAGAAGATGAAAAATGGCACGTCATAGGAGCTTGTTTGTGGCTGCACATGTCTAGATTCATGAAACATCAACTGCATTTGTTGTCCATTAAGCTTGAAGATGGTTGCTTTTCTGGGGTTTCACATTGCAAAGTGTCTTCCTGGGCATCTAGTTTAACAATTTTTGGATCTGATAGCAGTGGCATGACGAAAGAAATTGGGTTTTGCTCTTTGATATTGGCTAAGTTACTAAAGACCACACTTGTACATATTTCGTCTTATCATGTAAAACAACTTGCATTATTCCTGCAGCAGAAAGTAGAGAATAGATTACCAATACCAACTCTAGTATGGTTAAAAGAATCTAATCTTTCTCAAGCCAAAGCTCTCTATCAGAATGTCAATGCAGACATGATGAATAGCAAAGATGAATTATCATCTTTTGATGTATTGTGGGATGCTTGTGCTGATCCTCGCATAGTATCTGAAGGTTTTGCACAAGAAAAAATAAATTTATCACTGTTTTTCAATCATAAATCATATGAAGGCTGGAGTGATGAATACATGAGCATCACTGCAGAGCTTGAAACTGAAGATACCCTCGAACATGAAGGTAGGCTTAGCAATCGTCCTTCCAGTGATGAAATTGGATCAACTTCTACTGGTCTTTTCAGGAATGGCCGTACTTTCCTAAGTTCCTGGCAGAAGGATGCAGTTATGACAAAGGAGGTGTCTCATTTCCAAAATGCTAAAGAAGTACATAAGAGGGATGGAGAGCTTTTGGAGGTAGTTATTACTGCATCTTTTATCTTAACCATAATGGAAGACTATGGCATTAATTTGGTGCCATTAGTCAGTCAGTTTGAAAAGTGATTCTCTATTGAGTTTCCATTATGTTTGATGGTTATTTATTCAATTTTGCACAGGCTCTGTGTATCAACTCCGTTGATGAAAGGCAAGCTGCTCTGGCCAGCAACCGCAAGGTTAGTTTTTGCACACAAATTCCTGCTTTTGTTCCTATGGTTTAAAACTTGATGGATATTTGGTGAAACTCCTGTTCTTCATAGATTTTCACATCATCTATGTGTTTGTGTATGTGATAGAAAGAGAAAGAGAGAGTTTTAATATCTAAAAAGGTTCTGAGATTGACCTTACTACTGATGCCTGGGCATGTTTCATGCACCTGCCAGGCCATTATCAAGGCAAATCAGGATGGCTGGTCTCTAACACCTGTCTTCTTGTGTGCTGGAAGGTTCTTATCTTCTCTCATTTGTCTTTAATGTAGAAGGTCAAGGATGCACCAACAATAGCAGCTACGGGTTAGAGATTGGTTTACATTTTCTAATTCTGGGCATCAAGGACTTGCAATTATGCATGTGATATATAGTTCCTTTGGATTTACACTGTCAAATGGGTGAATTAATTGTTCCATTTGTACGGAACATGACTATGGTCATGAAATCTGCTAAATTTTTTTTAAGATAAAGGAAGAAAATTTTGTTAGAAAGATGGAAATAATAATACACAATAGGAGAACAAGGCATCATCCCGAATAGCAAAAAGAAACATCAATCTGCTAAATAAACTTAACCTGCCTGGCAGCACGTGTCTGGCTAAAGAGAAAGGGAATTCCCAATTCTCATCTCTTTTAATCATGGATTTTCCTGTAGATTGGATATATGCAAACAATATAAACCAGGAATGATACTTTACCGTAGCACGTAAGATATTGTTGATTGAGTGTAGATGACATTGTGATTACCAGAGATGATGAATTAGTTTGATCTATTTGAAGGTCGTGTATGTTTATATGTAGCTTGGATGGCTAATTTGGACCAAAATTGTATGAACACGATATGTGTTATCTTAACCCCTCATGGTACAGATGCTTCTCTTTAGTTTTTTTTTTTTTTCCTATTTTCCTTTTTTTAGTAAACCAACTTTCTGCAGCCTCATTCTTTAGTCTTTTATCATGTTAGCGAATACTTATTGAAAAAATCATCTGATACAGAATCAGTGTGTTGCTGAAATTCTCATGATAGTGTGAAGATCCATGTGGAATTTTGAGATGATCTTTAAAAAAGAAGTATGACAGTGTGGATGACATTGTGACTGGATAAAAATAAAAAATTCAGAAAACAAAAACCTCAAAATCTTCCTGGAAAAAAAAAATTGTCAATTAGGTTGTTTCCACAAGCTTGATATAAGCAGCAATGAAGTGGAAAAGAAAATTTTATTGCGATCGATATCACAGTGCATGAACTTAGAAGTTGCTTTTTTTTTTTTTTTTTCCCTTTCTTGCTCGTTTCTTTTTTACATATTGATGTCTTCAGTATTTAGTCAATATCTAATGTTAAATCCTACCTAGTTCAGGGAATAGTTTTCTTTTCTTGGGAAGACGGGTTACCTTTTGGAGATCAATCAGAGTATACATGGTCAGATGCTGATTGGCCACCAAATGGGTGGGCAGATGCTGAATCAACCCCGATTCCTACATGTGTCTCTCCTGGTGTTGGTCTTGGTAGGAAGAAAGGGGCACACCTTGGATTGGGTGGGGCAACTATTGGTGTGGGTTCTTTAGCCAGGAGGAGAAATTTGACAGGCAATGGAGCATTTGGCATTCCAGGTTATGCTGGTATTGGTCCCTCAGGCTTGGGTTGGGAGGTTCAAGAGGATTTTGAGGAGTTTGTTGATCCACTAGCTACTGCAGAAAATATAAGTACAACAGCTTTTTCCAGTCACCCCTCAAGGCCTTTCTTTTTGGCTGGTTCCAGCAATACGCATGTTTACTTATGGGAGGTATGGAACTATGATCGAGAAAATATTGATTTTACTTCTGTCATTCCCACTGACATAAACCAAGTCATGAAGACAAACACAAGGAGAACCAATCTTTGTAAAACAAATTTTTTAATTAATTAATTATATTATGAATAGCCTGTCTGGCATGTCTAATAGCAAAAAATCAAATAGAAAACAGGAACATCAAATGCTAAATAATAGCTGAAGTCCTTGAACAATTAGGAGTAGACATTAAATGGGCGTATCAACTGCTTATAGGAAATAGAAGTATGGATTAAGATTTCTAATAAAAGTTGCTTTGACTACTGAATAATAGAATAAAAATCTTGAATAATCAATTGGTGATCCTAGAATTGTATGTTATCCATGTGTGTAACACTTTTAAAACACAATTGCATCTGTTTGCATTGATGAGCTTTGCTCTCTAAGAAATTTTCTTTCTGAATAAGGCTTGCAAACCGAAAAAATCATATAGAAAAATCTTACAAGTGGAGATAGCATTTAAGGTAATGATGTCATCATATGAACTCATACCACTTATGGCTAATAATAGCACCATAAATAACTTGCTATTTCAGTTTATAAGGTTTTTCTGTATGATTTATTTGCATGTAAAGCTTTCCCCTTTTGTAGTTTCTTCAAATTTCTTTCTTTTGTAATTTATTGAGGTTAGGCATGTGTTTCCACCACATAGTATTATCACAGGAATTTATTGGCGTTTTTCTTGGCTTGCACTGGTAAAATGTGTTGTTGATATCAGCTGGGCATCAAATACAATAAAAGGTAAAAAATGAAAGGGGAAGACTTGACTATTGTCTTGTGAGGCATTTCTTTCTTCTAGCTTCTTTTGTTGTTAAGTTTTCGCTCAAATTATGAGCAAGTTTAAAAAACACAAAAAGAACTGGAATGATACAATTGAAATAAAATTCATATGGCAGAGCCGTTGTCCCTCATTTTTCACCAACTGATACTGTTGTTTTCAAATGCATCATGCACTACTTAAAGCACCGAATCAGCGCTGAGGAGAAAGTCACTAAAGGGCCTTCAAAATAAAAGTCATTGAACAGTCCATGTTTTTTTTCTCACTCAGAAGAGTTGCCTGTGAATCTCGTGCTGTTACTGTATGGTACATATGGATAATGTGCAATGCAATACTTTGCAGTTTGGTAAGGACAAAGCTACTGCAACTTACGGGGTTCTCCCTGCTGCAAATGTTCCCCCACCATATGCTCTTGCATCGATATCAGCTTTGCAGTTTGATCACTATGGACATAGATTTGTTACCACTGCATTAGATGGAACTGTCTGCACATGGCAGCTGGAGGTTGGAGGAAGGAGCAACATCCATCCAACAGAATCATCTCTCTGCTTGAACGGCTATGCATCGTATGTATACCATTCTTTTTACTTCGCAAGAAAACACTGACCCCTTACTGGGTTTCTGGGAACAATTGAAGTAGTCCAAGGAACTAGAAACTGCTTCTATTTGTACTTGGTCAAAAGGATCCTTTATTTCTCCAAAACAATGAAAGAAATTACCTCAAACTTTTTTGGGAAGTTTCCTCTTATTGGCCTTCTGTTTCCTTTGGTGATTTCCTTTTTGTATTTATTCTGTTATGGTTCAGAAAGACTGAAGAATGCCTACCAAGTGTTATCCTGTTAAGATATGTTTGTTGCCAATTTTGTGACTTGTTAAGATACTCTTGACCAATTTCCCTGATGAATCTTCTTTGATGCTAAAAAAGTTCTGCTCATGTTTCTATATGTTTGTTAATATAATATTACCTTTGTAGGGATGTCACATACATTACTTCAAGTGGATCAGTTATTGCTGCAACTGGATATAGCTCCATTGGTGCTAATGTGGTTATCTGGGATACATTGGCTCCACCTATGACTGCACAAGCTTCCATTTTTTGTCATGAAGGTTTTTATCTTTTAATTTCGAAACTGCTTAAGAGTAACTGTTTGGCATGAATCTACCTTGTCTTTTACATTCCATTGCATGATAATAGACAAAATAAGCAGCAGACCACTGTAAGATAAAGGTGGCTTGCCAATGTTTTATCCTCACACTCAAGATACTTTGCTGGTGCTGACACAACCAGTAGGTAAGATTGACAAGGAATGCAGAGTTCACGATGACCAAAGAACCTAAATTGAAATTTAGTTGTCTGGCTGCCTAAAGTAGTATCACCGATGAATCTCAGTATATTGATTTTATTTTCTCATGCACTCTGCATTTTGTTGCCAGATATTATTTCATCTCTAGTGGTACCAACCTGTGTGTGCATGATTCTGTGAAGGTGGTGGCCGCTCCATTTCTGTGTTTGATAATGACATTGGAAGTGGTTCTATTTCTCCTCTTATCATAACTGGTGGTAAAGGTGGTGATGTTGGACTTCATGACTTCCGATACATAGCAACTGGAAGGACTAAAAGGCACAACATGAACAACAATGCCCCTTCTAATACTGACAAGCAGACAGGAGTTGGTAACCAATTGGGAGGGCAGAATCTGAACGGGATGCTGTGGTACATACCAAAGGCTCATTTAGGTATGGGCACTTCTTTTTAATGAAAAATAAGCATATATGTGGATTTAAAATTTTTCAATCTAACTTTAAGTCTATAATCTGAGTGAAGGAAGTGTCACCAAAATATCCACAATCCCACATACCAGTTTGTTCTTGACTGGAAGCAAAGATGGAGACATAAAACTTTGGGATGCCAAAGCAGCCAAGTTGGTTTACCATTGGCCAAAGTTGCATGAAAAACGCACTTTTTTGCAACCAAGCTCGCGGGGTTTTGGTGGAGTTGTCAGGGTAACTACTAGTGCTTGATCTTTATATCAGAGGATTTGGTTTTGTATAAAGTAGAATTTGCTTTTCAGTGTGCTTGTGCTAAATGGATACATATCTGAATGTTGCAGGAAGCTGTTACGGATATACAAGTTGTCTCTCAAGGTTTTCTTTCCTGTGGTGGAGATGGCTCGGTAAAATTTGTTCAGCTCAAAGATAAGCAACGTAGGACATGATGATATACTGATAAGGTGCTGTTCCTGGCAAGATAAGAAATCCAGAAAACTTTGAACTCATGGAACTAATTCTTGGTGGAAGTTTGGTGTCGTTACCCACCACTAGACTGCTATATTTCATCCAAGGTAAGCACACAAAAGTGATTTTGTATCATAGAACAATGGTCCTGTCCAATGATCCTTGATGGACTTTTTTGTCTGTCGCCTTAGATATTGACACAATAGAAATGAAACCCAGAACGCTAACCAGGAAGGGAAAAGAAAAAAAAAAAAAAGCTACTGAAATCATTACAAAGTCCAGAAAGGGATCAAATCAACCGGCCACTGGTGTTGAGATTTGGACTGTTGTCTGCCAATTTTCACTGGCGGTGACTGCTGCTCTTCAAAGTATTTTCCCAAGCCCAGACAGTTTCTGAAACATCCAAACCAAATTATTGTGAATGTTTGGGTACCTAGGTATAGCATTTTGATATCAACTTTGTGCATGTGTAAATGTGTGTATATGTATGATAAAAGGAACAAATTTGTACATTTCGAGCTTCCTGTTTAATTTGTGGAAGCTGAGTTGCTTTATAGTTTCTTCTTTTATTATTTCATCATTTCTGATACAAATACTGTTTTATTTGACATTACAATTAACAAGCAACGAAACCCCTTCCTGACAATGAGTCAACGTAAGTTTTCAGTCATTCTAGGATTTTTTTTTCAAGTCATTAGCGTTTACTGACGTACAAGGTAGGAAAGACAATGTAATCAATTTGTAAAGTGTTGAAGAATATGATGTAATTTTGCAATGCAGGAACTGCTGATCCAAAATAATTAACTAATTTTTGGTCTGAAGGTTAAAAGGTGAGGCTCTGACCATCCAAAAGAGGGGGGCATGGACGCATGGATGCTATTGCCACAATGCTAACCTCAGTTTTATAATGAACTGGCTGGTTCAGGATTAGACGATGGTTCAAGTATTACTTAGATTTGAGCTACATACGTGCATCATGGTATTTGTTCGTATTTGATCGAGGGTATAGTTTAGTTTCTCTTTCTTCTATGAACTTTTTGAGTGGAGGATTCCTGGGCATTCACCGCTGCGGTCGAAACTCTTCGCACATGGCTCTTTTCAGAAGCGATCCAGCCATAGGTTTTGTCACTTGCATGAGTTGCCTTACTGATATCGCCTCTTGGATAGAAAAGGGATACGGTAGGCATTTCTCTCTTGGTTACTGCCAAGGTGCCATGACCAGCATCAATGAACTTGAAGCCTGACGCTCGGTCCTGTTTATTGAGTTCTTTAGCTGGGTACTCCGCCTATCCTACGAGTAAAATATCATTTATTCCGTGTTTTTAATGATTTTGGAAGTTAATTCCTCTATTTATAATAAAAAATAAAAAAACATAAGCTAGTCTTTTAACCAAATTTTACTGTTAATTTTTTTTTAATTATCATTCTTAACTGTGTTTTTAATTTTGTCTAGGTAAGATTGAAAATTTTGATTACAAATAAAGGATATTTTAGGTAAAATAACAATTTTAATTGTGATGAAAAAACTAGTACAAAGATCAAGTCGCAATGGAATATGAAAATATAGGACTTATGTTTTTTTAAAAAAAACAAAAGAACTACCTAATTATTTCACCAAAAACATAGTGTCAAATAATAATTTAATCTCAAAAAAAATGTGAATGAATCATCGTCTACTGATCTTGGAAGTCCTATTTGTGAATATTAATCAATTAACTGCATTAAGATTGCTTTTTTGTTGATAAGGGATTAATGCTATCATTGTTTAAGTTAAATAAATAAAGATGATAGTAATAGAATGGGAGAGTTGGGTGTTGCTGTGGCTGTGGGGACTGGGGAGTACCCATGAATGGAAGAACACGTGTGATTTCGGAGCATCTCTTCCCTTGGTACTCCGGTTAGCTGTAGCTGCATCTTTGTACTGCATGGATGATGAGTGCCAAGTACCCTTAAGCACTCAAGGATAATGTAATTAATGTTGGTGATTTTCTCCAATCATCATATCCACTCCTAATCTCGGGAGCTCCGTCTCTAACATGCTTTTCTGGCATTTTCGTACATTCCTTACCTACTATGAATCTTGAATTTCTATCCCTTTTATCAATCACAAACTGACACATGATTAATGAACCCTATTGAAAACCTGGTTTCTTACACAAGTGTCAATCCAAGTAACCATGAACCAAGCACGGAAACCACGTGCGCTCGCTCCCGGGATGCTTCATAAACCCGCTAAGCATTCAAGTGACCCACAGACTGCCTACCCTATGTGCTGTGCACTTTTGTTACTTGCTCAAAATTAATCTTTGACCAGAAAATTGCCTCATATGTTTAGGGTTGACTAACTGCAACAGCATTAGAGCAACTTAATTTTTAATTTGGGTTCATTGGTTTTTCAAGTTTCGTGGGGCTTTTTAAATTATGACTAAAGATATGATGACAGTATGAATTTCATGTCTTTTATTTCCTCGAATTCTCTTGTTTTAGCATTGTGCAACTCTGATGGTTCAAATGATGAAAAAAAGAAAATTGTTCCGTAATAAAGGACTGTGCAAATATATATATATATATATATATATATATATATATATATATGATTTGTTTAAGATTCAATTTAAAAAAGAAGTTAGTAATATTCGGGAAAAAAGAAAGCCTAATGGTTACAAGGAAGCCAGTTTTGGTTCACATTGGCTTTGTAGCGTAAGCCACTCTAGTAGATTTTTATCGTGGCCTAGGAGAAGCCGAAAGGTTGGTTGCGTTGGATGGAGACCTCGGATTTTTCCTGCGTGGCACCATCATTTGATGGTCACCCAAGTTAAAAGATAGAAGGTCTTATCATAGGGGTGGACCCAACACCCACAGACCATCCTATTGACGTCTTAGTTAACTGACACGTGTAAACTATAGATAACCGCTTGCCTTATATAACCATGGTAAAAAAACCACCCTTTCCGTTCAAGTAGCAAGTAACTTCCCCAATGGGTAACGTGGGTCACGCGGGTGAAAAAGGAAACGGTGCCGTTTTAAAAGACTTGAATGAAAAGTAGCTCGGCAAGTAAGAGAAGAATGTGGAAGACGACATCATAGAGAATGATGATAATAACTGAAAGAAAGCCTGACCAAAGTCTCGTGATCAGATTCAATCTGTTTGATGAGTAGAACGGAATCGAAACGGTTCGTTTCAAAGCGTAATGATATGATTATATACAACTAGCTCTCACTGAATTGAATTCGGTCAGATCTGTAATTCTGCTAATTAGGAATAATAATATCTCACAGACAGTAGTGTCATCTGCTTGCTCTCATCATTTCTGTTCAATTTTTGACTGATTCAATCTCCACATCCTCTCTATCTTTCTCTCCGGTTTGTACTCATTTTCTCTCTTATTTATTTGCTTGCTTTGAAGGATTTATTATCATCATTATTATTATTTGTTAATTTCTGGGCTTAATTTCCGGCTGGTTACTTTGGATATGTTTATTGCTACTTGGATGTTAAAGTTGAGGCAGACTTGTTAGTTTATTTTTGTCGAAATTTTTGTTGTTTGACTGAGAAGAGACATTATAGTTGTTTTGATTCTTAATCAAGCGTTTATGCTTTAATTTTCTTGAAAGGACTTTATGGATTGTGCTTTTGCTATTTCTACATAAAATGATATAAGGTAATCCGCATCCTTGGCCACGCTGTGTAAGTTGTAGTGTGATTTTGCAATAGATACGTTTAGTGAGCGCTTTGGGGATAATAAGTTGATGATTATGTGAGAGAGATCAGTTTTTATATGCTATGTTATTGGCATTTATGAAATTTTTCTTTCACTCAATTTGCTTGCATCCAAACATACTTTTGCAAATGTTGGTTATACATTAGCACCTTGGCATTCCTTGTTCAATGTTTTTAACTATTTATTGCTTAATAATAAGATGAATTTTGCATCGTTTAAGGGTTTACGATAAGATGGCTTAGTTTTGTTGCTGGCTCTAGTCGTTGGTTTCATTTGCTCTATTTTATAGTAATAGAGATCAAGTCCCGTGTTCAATTATTGTTTTAGCCGTATGCTCTGGTTTTATGAGCAAAGGCTCTTTTATATATTTGATTCTAGTTGCCATATCTGGTATTTATGAATTCTTGCTATAATGAAAACTTTCTCTACAACCTAGTCCTACTTACATCTTTGTCCGTGGATCAAAACCAGAGTGCTCTATATTAATGTTTTCTTTAGATAAGCATCGATTACGTGTACCAAAATCCCGACTGCTATATTAATTGGTACCTGAGCATAAATTTAATGTTTGCTGTAAATTTTTATTGAAATTATCTATTTCCAGAGTGCTATGTATTATCTATTACGTTTTAACTGTTATGTTTTCCTCCACTTTGGAGCCTCACCGTCTGTAGAGCTAAAAATAAATTTGAATTCTGATGTAGGTTAATTGTTATTAGATGTGTGAAATAAAAGAGAGTGATGGCAGCAGCAGAAGCCAGGGCTGTGTGGCAAAGAACAGCTAATCGTTGTTTTGTTCAAGAAGATGCAAAAAGAGCTCCCAAGCTAGCTTGCTGCCAATCATCATCTTCATCATCTAAGCAATTGGATGGAGGACCAACAAGTGGAGCAGATATGCCAGATCAATCTTCTGTAGGTTTCATGCCTCTCAAAAGGAACCCCTCATATTCCAGTCTGCCCCCCGATACAAGATGGTGGCTTCAACTGCAACCTAGCTATGGGTACCAAAAATGTTTAACACGTGAGCAGTTGGAATCTGAGTTGGAAAGCTTGAGAGCTAACATTGTAGACTCACCTTCTAAAAGCGAGGTTTGCCAACAAGATGATACAGACAGCATGTGTGTGGATGGCAGCAAGAATAGCGAGTCTTCTCCTGATTCATATTGTATGATCTCTGCTGATTATATGAAGAAAGATCTTGATAATAAGAAACAAGAGCTAGAAACTTTATATGACAAGGATTTTCAAGAATTTAATGAACTTAAGGATGCAAGGAAGAACTCCAAGTTGAAAGAGATGGATCCTACTGGATGGCCCAAATCACAAAAAAATGATGAGTATGGTTTTGATCCAGAATCTGCTTGGATTGGGGGGGAAAGAACATGCCATGGTGGCGTGCGACGGATAATGACTTGGCCTCCTTGGTTGCACAGAAGTCACTTGATTATATTGCAAACTGTGACCTTCCCCCACCTCAAAAGACGAACATCAGGAGACGGCCATGCGCTCATTCTGGATCTTTTGAGCATGATAATACACTGTCATCATCTTTGGATTGGAAGGCACAAAGTGGTTGTATCTCCTCTGCAACTGATCATGTACAGGGCTGTCCCAAATCCGAAGGCATGCCTGGAAAACAAAGGGTTTCAACTGAAGGGCAATTACAAAGTGTTTCTGACAAGGCATGCAGGTATTTTCTTATATCACATCTTCTGGCGGTATTGTTTCTCCATTGTTTCTAGACAATATACAAATGCATTGCTATTGATCAAATACAACATGGTTCTGACCAGTCAACCAGGTATCGTCGTAGTTTATATCTTCTGGTGATATTTGTTCTTGGATAGGTCTGCCTAATATGTTGATGCATCAATCTATTGGCCAAATACTGCTACAATTGTCCTACTATTTTACTGCTCTACTTCTCTGCTGTCATGTTGTCAAGATAATAGAGTTCTTTATTAACCTATAAATACTTCTATGTGCTTGTATCTGCTGCTCATCCATGGTGTTCAAATCCCTTACCTGCAACCTGAAATACAGTTATATGACAACCAATAAGGAAACTGCTGAAATTGGACAAGTTTCTGAGAGTGATCCTTGCAAGGCTCAACTATTGGAAGCACTCCGGCATTCTCAGACACGTGCAAGGGAGGCTGAGAAGGTAGCAAAGCAAGCCTGTGCTGAGAAGGAGCATATTGTCAAGCTCTTCTTCAAACAGGCCTCTCAACTTTTTGCCTATAAGCAGTGGTTCCAACTGCTGCAGCTCGAAACCCTTTATTACCAGATGAAGAACAGCGATCAGCCAATGTCTAATCTCTTCCCTGTAGTTCTTCCATGGATTCCTCACAAAGGTAGGAAACTGCGCAAGAGCTGGCAAAAGTCATCAAAGGGTAAACGAGGCAAGCGATGTCGTCCAAAGCATGACATTGGCAAGTATGCTGTTGCTTTTGCATTAGGGTTGAGTCTTGTTGGTGCTGGGTTGCTACTGGGATGGACTGTGGGTTGGATGCTGCCTTTCTAGAGCATCAGCCTAATTTCCCGCTTGTTAAAATTGATTTACAAGGGAAAGTGATCGTGTTGCATTTGTTCCCATATGGATGTAGTTTTTGTATTTGTTCTTTTGTCCTGATGATAACTCTTGTATATAGATGATGTGAGGAACTGTCCATGTGTATATGTTAGTTCAAACGTGTTCTGGCACTAGAAGAAGATCTCATCGATTGTCTCTTTTGGTGAGCGTATGTATATTTGATTCAACTTTAGCATCGAATTAGTATTATCATTGCTGTTTCTCTCCCTTGCTTCAATATCGTGGTGGTTAGTTGATCACGGCAGGTAAGAGTGGTTTGGTGGAATTATGAAGTGAAGCAGTGGTTTGGTGCGAAACTTAAAAATTGGACGAGGAAGCGTCTTTTATAATGGTCGGGTTTCATGTCCTGACACTTCTCTGGAGCCCACCCTGTTTCTTATGTGGGAAATGGATTCATGATTTGGTGGTGGTGTGCTGTGAGGCTTTCCGTTTGAGATAAATGAATTCTGATATTGATGCTAGTCATGTGTGGTTATGGGAGTGCAATTTTGCAAGGTTCAGGGCAAAAATTTCCCTTCTATACCTGTCTTTTTTTTCATTTTTAAGATGATGCTTAAATGCCTGTATGAAAATGCTGTGGTCGTAATCTTCTGAAAATAGCCTTAATTTCATGATTTGCTTCATTTCGTGTCTATGTTAAACTTATATCGCAGGTTGCTTAGAATCACTTAGGCTTGGCATCTATCAAATTAAACTAAAAGATTAGAGAGCATGATAATAGACGATACGCAATAAATATGGTGATTGAGTTGGTGATTATCAGCTGCACTTGAAAAGTTCTTTGTTACCTGACAACTTAACTAAATTCCTTTACCAGTTTCCTACTGTCAACTAATCGGATCTAATTTGTTTAATAAATAAATCAAATTGAATCTAATAAATTTGAATTCGAGTCCTGCAATTGTCAATTTGAATCCTAACATGTTAGAATTGGACTAGAATATGTTTCAGAATTATCATTCAATTTTGTTTTTTTTTTTAGAGAAAAGCCTAGATGGTTGCCCATACTATATTGCGGATTGGGCATAATTGATGAAATCATTTGAAACAAAAACCATTATGATTTAATAGTTTTTGCTATGTTAGAAATTTATAAATCTATTGAAATCAAAAGTAAAAAAATATTCACCTAATTTTATGATTTTTAAGTCAAAATTTTGTATTTAATTAATTATCTCTTGTGTTTTTTAAAAGATTTCCTTCTTAAAAAAAGAAGCAATTTATTTTTTTGTTATGCATGGATTCTTAAATAAAAATTTATAATAATCTAAAATGCAAGTTTCAATTTATCAGAAATCCTAAAAAAATATATGTATAAATTTCATTAAAAAATTAAGATTTAAAATAATTTTTTAAAATATTGATGAGAAGATGAATTTTTAAAATATGAATATTAGGTTTACATTAAAATAATAATAGTAATTAATTTTAAAAGTTCATAAAAACTCTATTTAAAAAGGATGGTACCGTTAGGCTTTTTTAAAAAAAATATATTTTTTATTATTTTATTTGAGAAGAATTGATTTCAAAATATTCATTTAGAAAAAGTAAATATCAAGTGCTTTTTGTGTATATGCACAATCAATTTTTAACTAAAAAAAACTTATAAAATAATTTTGATATGTAATTATATTATAAATAATATAATAGCAATTTTATTATACTTTTAGTGCTCAAACATTTGGTCAAGTGAATTGCACACATACACAACCAAAAACAAAACACAAAATCAATTTTATAAATTTGATTTGCTATTTAATGTAGAAAAAAAAGTTTTCTTCAAAAACAAATCTGACCGTCAAATAAGAATTTTTTTTTCAAGACAAGCATAAACGCAAGTTTCAATTTATCGAAAATCCTAAAAAATATAAGTATAAATTTAGTTAATTATTTTATAAGATTGCATCGAGAAAATAAAGCAAAAATTTTTTTTTTTGAAAATTGCATAAAAATTTTAAGATTTAAAATAAATTTTTATAATATTGATGAGAATATTAATTTTTAAGAAGTACGTATATAAGGTTTGTGTCTATTAGATTTTAAAAAAATAAGCATTTTTTTAAAAGAAAGCATGAAAGTATTTCCACACTATAACTTTGGACACAAAATAAAATCACCATATCATGTTCATATATATACTCAAAATAATAAATAATATTAGAATAAAAAAAAACTCTATTTAAAAACCATAGTATCATCAAGTATATTTTTTAAATTTATTTGAGAGAAATTGATTTCAAAATATTCATTTAACAAAAAAGTAACTATTAAGTGTTTTTTGTGTATATACACAATCCACTTGAAATTAAAAAATAAGTAATTTTTTAAAAGAGAGCATAAAAGTGTTTTTTATTCCTGTTCTATATGTTAAATCAAAAAATTAAAATAATTGAAAATAGCAAATAAAACTAAATAATTAGTTTTTTAAATCGTAGAAACTAATTAATTTGTTTGTCCAAACAATAGGGACTAATTTATAATTTATTCTTGAATTGCAATTGTTGCTCTGACGAAAATAAAGAGGAAAAAAGCAATGAATGACATGAGTATTAAATGCTATATCCAAAGCAAAGGATTTGTCCAGGAAATGACAGAAAAAAGGCTAAAAAGGCAAATTAAAAGTAAATCAGTCAAGTGCAAATATAGAATTTCACAAATATATTGAGTGGCATGACAGAAATTTAGAGTAAAATAGAATGCCCTTTATATGCAATATATATATATATATAGCAAGCAAAACCCAAAAACCAGATTAAAGGGCCAAAAAACCGTGATGTAAACAGTTAAATGAGAGAATGTGAATAGTCTATAAACAGTGAATATCCTATATCTTTTAGTTTTTTTTGTAATGTTAACTACATTGAAAATCATGCTTTAATGTAAAATGAATTTGAACTATTACATATATAAGAAAATATTTTATGATGATATTTAATATGTAAATTAAAAAAAAATCCAAATATCTCACCCATAAAAAAAAATCAAATAATCCTAATAAAAACTTATATTAGAGGTCAAAATTAATTGAAATTAACCAAGAAGTATGAAAAAAAATTAAAATATATGTACATATAAATGCTTGTTATACGCACAATGTGATTGGCAAGAAAAAAAAATCCTAGTGTTTTACAAATAATAAGTTTGAAATGGACAAAAATTCAGATTAGATCAAGATTTTATAAATTAAAAATACAATTATAATACTAGTAACAACTCATTAATTAATTTTTTATTCATATGTTTATAGGATTTTTTACAAACTAATTTGAAACTTGAAAAATGACGGGGTAAAAAAATATATATATATCATGTAATTGTTTGAAAGAATAGTCATACTTTAAGAGAAAAAATAAATAAATAAAAGTAGCATTTAGAGTAAATAAATCCTAAATCTAAACCTAGTTTCATATTTTTTATTTTATGTTTTTGAAATATCATATTTATTATAAATAATATTATATTAATTTCAAAACGGATTATTATCGGATTGAATTGAGAAATATTCTTATTTAATCCATTTAATAAAAGGATTAGCGAATTTGAATTATAAAAATTATTTCTCTCATCTGATTACATGGGAATCGGATCTGAATTCGATCAGTCCTGAATTCAGTTTAATAAGCTGCTTGACATTTATTTACAAATAATTCAGGAATGGACGGACTACTCAAAACATGATTGGAAATGAAGTCAGATATACGGTGTACCCCAAGTCTCTAGTAGCTATTCTGAGTTTCTGACTTCTCCCCCACTTTCTTGTAATGGAGTTTGGCCCTAGGCTTTGGGGGCCCTGGTCCATGTATAAAAGTCAACCAACTCAATTGCCCGACCCATCCTGGCCCGGCCTGGACTTTCGGGGCTCCATCCAGCTTTAGAAGAAGAGAACAGCTAATAGTACGAGAGGAGCTGGATCCGTGTGAATACCCGTCGTCTTCAAAGATCCCCTAACAGAGAGAATACACCAGAAATTTGGAGACAGAAAGAGAGACACACAAAAATGCCGGTGATAGAAAAGTTGAGGATGTTTGTAGCGCAAGAACCAGTGGTGGCTGCTTCTTGCCTTATTGGTGGTATCGGTGCGCTTTCTTCATCAATTTTTTTCTCAATTTCGTGCTTCAATTAATTGTTAATTAATGATTATGGTTAAGATAAATTAGTGAATGAAAAATGATTGTTATCCATTTCATGTTAGTGGGTTTTCCATGTAAACTGTAGCAAAACAGTACGAGGGCATTCCTTGGATTTGTGAATTAATATTTAGGGTTTGGTTGAAATTCACTGCAAACTTCAATTCGATAAAGCTGTTGTGTAGCTAATGAATATTTCTTGGGTTGGGAATGGTGTTGCAAAATTCTTATTAATTGGCTGTAACTGAAGCATTCTACTGATCCATGTGGTCTTATTGTTTATAAGCGGGAGGGACCTTATGAAACTACAACACCCTGCTTCATCATATAGATAGAAGCTTAATTTTTTTTTGAAAATGGAAAGATTCACCAGTGCTGTCACTATTTTGTTTCTAGTAATGGATATTTAATCTTCCTGAAAATCTCAGGTCTCTTGCTTCCAGCTGTGGTGAGGCCCATTCTGGATTCCTTAGAAGGAAGCAAGCATGTCCCTGAAAGACAGCCTTCCATTAGTGATGTGAGTATTTAGTTTTATGTTTCGCTATTTCTTTCAGAACATTGGAAGAAATATTCAGTCTATGTACTACTTTTGGGTGGATTGTGTTTCGTACTAGTATGCATTACTGAACTCCTATTTTAGGGTTTAAACCTCTAGAACCTGTGGATAGTTTTAGTAATTAGCGTTACACAGTTCATTTTTTCTTGAACATGGCATATTATTCATGCAGTAATTGTTCTTGTTTTGCATAGATGAACCTTGCTATAAGTATTGTTGTTTTGCTGGTAATCCATGATATCTCAACTTGCTTATCGACATTGACATATGACTATCTTGTACGGTCGTGGACATTTTGATATGATAAATTAAGTGATGAAACAATTGTTGCTGTGTCAGATTGAGTTACAGCTAATTGGTTGTTTCCATATTTTAACAAAAGTTTGTGCGGTTATGCATTTTCAATTTCCCACCGTCTGTTTTGTTTTTGTTAAGTTCATGATTATTTTTAGATGAAGAATATGTAAACCTGTTGAAATCACATGCCTATACTATCATAGCCTCAGAGGGTTTTTACTACCTGTAGGGATCTGTTGTTTGCTTGATTCAGTTGCTTTGATATCATTGAATTAGGAAGGTGCATTCCTTAACTGGCAACAAAGAGCTAAGCCAATTTTGTGATAGTGAAAGGGAATTTAACATCCATGAACCATCTTCATGAGAACTTGCAACTATGCCTTTCTTCTTTTTTCTGTTCTTGACTCTTGAAGTCAAACATTTTTGCAGGTGCTTGCAGGTATGACAGGGAAACAGCAACGATGAATCATTTGTTGAAGTAAGCGGCTGAATTTCAAACGTTCCTCAACCCTATGTGTTGTTACTCTTTTTTTACATCCCGTCAGTCTAAGCAGCTTGAAATAAGTTTTACCTTTTTACTTGTGGAACACTGATAAATATTGAATGTTGAACATCAACCTGTTTTTTGTAAGCATATGAATGTTTTCTTTAAAATTAATTGAGTACTTTAAGCAAAGCTTCCTTGCTGCTTCCTTTTCCTCTATTTTTCATTTATCTTTATCAGCTGGATTTGAACCCCTTCATTTATTGGCTGTTGGGATTAATTCCTTTTGGTGTGTGTTAAAATTAATATCATATGGGTATTATAGTATGACGGGTTGCTTATTACTGTAACTGACAGCAATGATGGATTACCTAAGTGTTAAATGTTTCTGGGATTCAACTGATCAAATTACCATGGAGAGACAAAAACAAAGATGTTACTTGTTATTCAGATTGGTGTTGGCATGCCCAGTCGAGGCAACCTGATCAACTGGTCATCTCTTTTTCTATTGTCCTATGCTGGATAATGGTGGTGGAGTGTGCTTGCGGGATTAAGGATAATGCTCTAAAATGTTTAAAGTGACCCACCTAATATATATTCCAAGTTTCCAACCGTTGGTCTTGTACTGATTCCAGTTCTATACAATTTTAGTTTGTATAATTTGATAATTTAGCTTCACCAGAGATCAATAATGGCCAGGCTTGCTGGTTTAATTAGGCCGTTCATGCAGACTGAAAAACGCTGTCTTCATAAGTGAGATTCATGCGAGATAAATTAAACTAAAGCGTAACGATTCTAAGGTAAATCTCAGCAATCATTTAATGCGCGCGCGCGCGCGGGGGTTTTAACACTACCGTTTAGGACGAATGTAACTTTCTCCAAGCGAGCCATTATGGTACATTTCAGTCTTTACAAAAAGCTTTTACTGCTATTCATCAAAAAATTAAAAAAGAAAAGCTTTTACTGCTCACACATTTGACAGTACGCTGTCATCTCCAACTACTTGGCTAAAACGTCCTGTAAATTCTTCCCACAGTTCAGATAAAGGTTCAGCTGAAAGGCCTTCCGAAAACAGTGCAGATGACAGCACAGCGGGAGAACAAGCAAGGATGATGGGCAACACCACAACAAAAACGTCATTTTCATTTGAAAGAGAAATATCGAAGGTCGATAGGAGATATAGGACCATCCCTAGCGGTGTACAGATAATTAATTGGACATATCCATCCTGCACTGCCCCAAGAAAAGTCAAATCACAAACCCGTGGTCTTTCTTTGGCTTCTTGTTTCTCCAAGGTACCACCTGCTTCAAGCCCTCATAAATATTCGCCTGAAAAAAGTCAACACAACTGTTTCTTTTAGTGGTAGTAATCGAAACTCCAAAGGTTGTTATTGCATACAGAAATTTATACTTACCGCACTATTGAAACCGGCTCTAACCTACTCTAAGCAAGGCTATCATTATTGCACTTACTAAGCTGCCTCGGCTGGAGTAAATGGGACCTCTGCTTGAAAATTATTTGTCCATGTTACAAGCAAAATTGTTGTTGTCCATTCATGGCCTTTTAAGGCTGTACAATTTGGTTGCTTTGTTATGTCACAAACTCGTTTATTAAAATTTAAAGCAGTGAAAAGCTAGTTTTATAAGCAAAAAAATGAAAATTAAAAATTCTGATGTGTTATGACTAATGAAGAGATTACAAGAGCAAAATCAATTAAAAAAAAAAAAAACAAAATGGATTGCTGAATTTGCTCAAAGAGCATGCTATTCTTTACTTGAGGGAAGGGGATTCCTAGTTATTCAATCAAGAATCGCACATAAGTAAATCAAACCAAGGAACTATATGAGAAAAGGAAATTTAGTAAGAGTTAAGACTGGAACTAACCCAGAAATGAGACCTGGCATTGGACACAGCAGAAAAACTCCCTGAACTTTTCATTCTTGTCATCTTGACATTGTCGCTGCTACTAATCATCTCTTCCTCTTCATTGCTGCTTTGATCAAGAGGTTCTCTATCCCCCAAAGATGGAAAGACATAACTGCCCCCACCAGCCTCTCTATTACCCTTCAAAGCCCTCCTTCCCCAACTCCAAGAACCCAAAAACCCGCCTTTCTCTTTGCCTCTCCTCTTGCTAAGAACTATGGGGCCAAGCTGACCCGTCTCAGGACTGCAACTCCTGCGAAACGACCCATAACATTCCCTTGATCTGATTACTCTAAACGACGAAGACTGAAATCTTGATGACTTCCCAGTGTAAGGACCCTCCAAGACTGTGGTGGGTGAAGGCAGGGTGTCTATTAACAGTCTCGGAGGTAACTCTAGGCACTTTTGTGGCAAGTCGATGGGCCTGGGGATCAGGCTGGTGCATTCCCTGGGTTTGCCAGGCTCTTCCTCCCACCGAAATGGGACAGAGGCTGAAGTTTGGAGTGGTGGGGTTAGTGTCCCTGACCTCTCCGGTGACTTTGTATGTGCATATGCATGTGGTTTGGGTATCAGCAGTAGCCTTGGTGGTGTGAAGCTTGGCTTTTCTTCTGCCTCCGATGCCATTTCTTTTGGGTGATCTCTCTCAAAGTGCCTATATATCTAGTGAGTTTGTACGATATGGAGAAATTGCCTGTGCTTTTAAGGGCTGCGAGTCTGGTAATTTGTATTAGGGAGACAATGGGGGAAAAGAAACGAGGGTCCTTATGATAAAAGGCAAGACTTCCTAGCCATCGCTCATCAGTCTATTCATTGAAGATAAAAGTTGCATTAGGACCTTTTCTCAAGGAATTTGCATTTGTTGTTTAGTGTTTTAAGTTCCTCATAATACTAATTAGGTTCGGTAGAATTAGTGCTGGATTAATCATAAGCTATCTAATCACATATTTATACGAGTGTACGGACATTGAAATACACTAATAATTACCGCCAAATTTTGATTGCTTTAAAATATTCTTATAGAGTTGGCCCATCATATTGGGCAAAAAAATGAAAATAAAAAAGCAACGGAAAAATAAGTGAGAGGGATAGCTAATTGCATGCGCATTATCTAATGCTGATTCTAAAAACAAAACCTGCTCTCTCATTTTAAATTGAAAAAAAAAAAAAAAGAGGACAAAACAGTGAAAGCACTAAAGCAGAAAATGTTTCCTCTTTTATAGTCAGATGAGATGAGAACAGCCTGATTTGAGAGTGGCTTTGTATAGCTTTACTAAAGTGTTTCATTCCATGGTTTTATTAACAATTTTTTTTTTTCAAAATAAAGAAATGTGGCAATCCAGAGCACACATTTCAAATATTTCAGCCAATCTCAACTTTTTAGGAGTCAGGATGTCTGTGCATAAGAGCACAGCTGATTTTTACTTTGAATAGGGCAGCATCGGATGCCAGCGTGAGACAGAGAATCATTCTTTTGCAATGCAAAGACTTGACTTTTTGGAATTTACTTGATTCGTCTAATACCGGGCTAGACAAGTCATTCTTGTTTACCCTTCCTCAACCTCAAGACAAGGCAATGGCGCTAAAGATTTTTGAGTGTAAGGAATCTGAGAAAGCTTATAAAAGAGGGAAAAAAGAGGAGTCGGAAGTATATTTGGTAGTAACCAAGAAAGGCAACATCAACAAAGAAAAGATACAGCTGGTTGTTAAGATCGATCTTCTGGAGTATAGTTCAGCATTTCCTTTCCTTCTCTTCGTATCAATGCAAATAATTAAGAAGATGAAGGCTGACCGAGATCCAGTCTAGAAAACCATGATAATATTATTGAAATGCAATATAGAATTATTTGCATAAATTGTTAATCACGCAGAGATATGATTTGTTTCTTTTTAACTAACACGCATTCTCTATGTTGACAGTTCTTCTAGTGCTCTAGCCGACACCCGGCCAGGTGGGACAAATCATTTTCCAGCTATACGACAATTACACGTATAGCCTCATGGCTAATTGAATTTACCTGTCTTTCCTGTTTGATGCATGCCACTCTTATTTTTTATTTAAAAATATTTTCGAAGCAATTTATATAATTTCTCTTTTTTTCATATTAGTGCATTCTCGAGAATAAAATTTTCTAAAGGACGCCAATAAGGAAGGTTTAGATGAGAAATATTTTGCGTGTGGAAAATGTGAATGTAATGGAAATGAACCAACCTTAGCTACCCGCCACGCTAAACGCAAAAGTCAAAAGGTGAAACAAAGAGTATTTCACTCATTTTCAAGACAATAAAGAAGGTAAGCGTGCGTGGTACAGCCTAAATCAGAGTGGTCACGCACGGCTTTGATCAAAGGGCCTATATCTTTTGTTAGAAAGCTTAGCTTTAACGAAACAAAACAAATTGATTTCGAATTCTTAAGATAGTGAAAGATTAATATAAATATTTGGACCTGAGACATCTTAAAATAAAATTTTAAAAAAAATGCCTATAACTTTCCTTGACTCTCTAGCTTAGCTCTCATACACAGTACAAACTTAACGGAAAACAAAGCCCATCTGCGTAGCAATGCTATGCTTGTTAGTCTAATTTCCCATTTTCTGTGTGGCAACTAATTCAATCATCATTCTAGATAAAGGTGAATCAAGAAAGTCAAGCCAAAATTAGCAAAACACACTCGTCAAAGTAGAAGATGGTAGTGGTATTGGTTGTCAAAGAAAGAAAAGGGATATACATGCAAGACTTTTTGCTTGATGCACATGTAAGTGAAGATTAAAACGTGATAAATTTTGGTTGGGAATAGAAAATTGGATTCATGTATGTTATTTACAGCTCAACATGGACTCTTACTAGAAAAGGATAGACGGGTCTACCATAAATCATTTGTGCTGTAATCCTGAAACCAGATGGACAAATCAGAGCAACATAATGTGCCTATGAGTTGTCTAGCCAAAAAAAAAAAAAAAATGATAAATAATCATTAGCCAAAGGACACAATAAGATAAGCATTGAACACATTCCACAGTCATCCAAGCAACAATAAGTTGGGCAGGTGGCATCTTTTTTTCTCTAGGGTTAATAGTTGCAGGTATTCATTTACTTTTTTTTTATGGTGTCCCTTTTTTTTACATTTGATTTCGTGTTTTAAGTTTGTTTCTCTATTAATTTTTTTAACCTAACGGTATTAAATTATATCATTAGCCTCATAGGATTACAATGTGTATCTACTCTTTTTTTTTTTTTTTATCTTAATCTCGTTTTCTACTAATTTTTTAGAGAAAAAAAATTAAAAAAAGGGTCTAGATAATTTTTTTAATCTAAAATATCATTTATGAGTTTAGATTTATTTCTATGATAATAGGTAAATTTTGAGTATAAAATAAAATACTTATAGTATTTTAGAAAAATCAAGAGAGTTTTAGTTAAAATTTTTTAATAATATTTATAATTTTACAATATCTCAAAAAAAATTGATTATTATTTACTTATTTTTATTTTACAAATTTCTTAATTTGACTCCGAGTGAAAATATATATTTTTTTTAATATTCACTAAACAATGGTTAAAAGACTATAAATACCATTCAAAAATTTAAAATTTAAAATTTAATAAAAACTCTCTTAACATTAAAACAAAATACTATAAATATATCATTTTATACTCAAAATTTACGTATTGTCATAGTGCTAAATTTAAATCCATAAAAATATTTTTATCTTTATTTTTTTTTCATTTAAAAAAAAGTACAGAGAGATGAGATGAATTAAAAAAAAAATTAGCATGTTTTGCAATCTTGAGAGGCTAACGATATAATTTAATATTTTTAGCCTAAAAATTGAACGAAATGACAAACGTAAAACAAAAAAAAAAAAAAAACTTAAGACAAAAAAAATATATGATCAACATGAAGAAAAAAAAAACAATAGAGGATTCTGCAACCATTAACTTTTTTAATGTGTGTGTGGAAGTGGAGGATAGAAATGAAAAAAACATTTCGACTAAGCCCGTTAACTAGTTTAGAGCTAAATTTTTGGGCTGCTTAAGGCCTGGTCCATACTGCTTCATTCTTGCTGAAGCCCCAAGCTTTCAATACCTTTTTTTTTCTATCATCGTAAAAAACCTGACAACCAGCTCATGGCAACAGATTAAAAATATATACAAAAAAAAGTTGTAGTTGTGAAATTTAAACTAAAATAATTAATAATAATTCATAAAAAAAATGGACACAAAATAAAATAAAAAATTGAGTTAAAAATATTTGTATTGTTTTTTATAGATTTAGATGTGATTATATATATATGACTCATAAAATAAAAATAAATACTAACAGTTATTTTTTGAGTATTTTAAAATTTCTTACAATACAACTGTTATGGAGATATAATATGCATGAAGAAGAAGAGTTGGCCTTGGATTTAAATCATCCCCTTTTTTTAGGGGAGAAAAAAGTTGTAAATTCACCGATTAAGGAACAAACATCGGGTGGGTGTGTGTGTCTACGAGGCCGAATGGCAAATACCCAAAAAACCAACGAAGTAGTCCTGCATTCATAAGGCTCAAACGAATAATAAGTTGCAAATAGAGGGCCGGAAGCTCTATTATACCAGATGGACCAAACAAGGCAACCCAAATCTTAGGCTAGCTTTATTTAAGTCAAAATAGCCCACCCCCAAGAGTATGTCCAAAAACATTCCCCAGCAGCCAACGTGGACGAAAGCATTTTAATTGAATCAATCACACATCCTTCAGTAGTACTATATCAGATTTTTTACATATATTACGCTCTCAATCGAACAAAATATGTAAATATCTCATGTTATATCATACGTTTATTAAAATATATTAAATTTTATATTTAATTGATTATTTTTTATATTTTTTATAAATTTTTTATCAAAAAAATTATCTAATAATATAAAGAATGTTAAAACCGAGTATATTCTTTGCTAAAAATTTATTTTGTAATGTTTTTTAAATATTTTTTGTCTTAAAATTTTTTATTAAAAAAATCAGAGAAAAAAAGGATCGAAATGACAAAAATTAAACAAAAAATATTTTACGAATTGAAAAAAATATATATTTAAAAAAGAAGAACTAAGATACAATATTAGGAAAACTTTCATTATAAATATATTAAAAATATTTAAAAATTATAAAAATGTCATTACATAGTAAAAGGATAGTGCTTTTGAGTGTAAGTAAATGAATAGTAAAACTAATGTTTTTATTTTAATTTTATTTATAATTTGATATGGTTTGATTAAAAAAACAACTAAATGGATTAAAAATTAAGTACTTTTTTTTTGTTTATTTGACTCAAAAATTGTGAATGTATTCTTGATTAATGTAAAAACTAATTCAAAAATACTCTACTATAGATAAATCGAGATAAATAAAACTTGAGTCAATTACAAGTCTGATAGCTATTTGATAGTTTAAACCATCTATAACTTGTATAACTTATATGAGGTGGATTTCGCTGACAGGAGCATTAGCACCAGCCCTCGACGACCCTTCTGCTACATCTTTCCCTTTGTTGCTTGACATCACCAAAAAACAGTGAGTTAATTAAGTAACTTTTTTGAGGTTACGAGAAAGGAATTAAGAATATATTTGAGGAGGAGGGGAGAGAAACGTTGAGAAGGAAAAAATAAATAATGAAAATCACATCAGATGGGCTAATGAGGAGACATGCTATGGGTCCTATGAAAGTGCTTTAGCTTCTCTTTTTCGTCCTATCATATTATTTTCTTGCTTTAGTGGCTACTATTAGCAATAACTAATATATTTTTTTCGCCTTACTCTCATCTTTTACTAATTTTTTTATAAAAGGAAAAAGCTAAAAAAAAGGTCAAGATAATTTTTTTAATCTAAAATATCATTTATGAGTTTAGATTTATTTCTATGACAATAGGTAAAATTTTAAAATAAAATAAAATAAAATAGTTATATTATTTAAAAAACAAAAATCAAGAGAGTTTTAGTTGAATTTTTAAATTTTTGAATAGTATTTATAATTTTACAATATCTCAAAAAAAATTATTATTTATTTATTTTTATTTTATAAAATTCTTAATTTAACTCAAAATGAAAATACAATTTTTTTTTTAAATATTCACTAAACAGCGGTTAAAAGATTATAAATATTATTTAAAAATTTAAAATTTAATAAAAACTCTCTTGACATTGAAAAAAATACTATAAATATATCATTTTATACTCAAAATTTATTTATTATCATAGTGCTAAATTTAAATCCATAAAAATATTTTTATCTTCATCTTTTTTTTTCATTTAAAAAAATATAGAAAGGCGAGAATAAGAAAAAACAAATTAGCAATCTTGAGAGGGTAACGATATAATTTAATATTTTTAGCCTAAAAATTTAACGAAATGAAAAATTTAAGAAAAAAACTAAATCTAAAAAAAATAAACTTAAGACAAAAAAAAAATGGTCAACGTGAAAAAAAGAATAGAGGATTCTACAACCATCAACTTTTTTTAAATATATATATGTGGAATTGGAGGACAGAAACGAAAAACCCATTTCGAGTAAGCCCGTCAACTAGTTTAGAGCTAAATGTTTGGGCTGCTTAAGGCCTGGTCAACTCTGCTTCATTTTTGCTTCATTCTTTTTGAGCTAAATTTATATGTGATTTTCGTGTGTGTGTGCGTGTATATATATATATATATATATATATATATATGATTGTTTTAAAATTTCTTATAATACAACTGTTGATAAACAACAGTTGCAGGCCTCCCACCCAACAAAATATATAGCGAGGAACGATTCTCGTAATGGCTATGTTGTAAAAACATATCTCATCGATGAGTTTTTTAGATTATTAGTGATAGCAGTCACGACCAATCTTTCTGGGCCAGCTACTCGACTTCTCGGGGAACAAGATCAATCACGGCCTATTCAAGGAGCGACATTTGAAAACCATAGATAGACAATTAAATGACAATTGACAATCATATAAATAAGAACTCAAGTTGCAGCAAATTAACAAAATGTGGGTGAGTGCATGTATTTATAACTTTCTGAAAGAAAAAAACAAATAGAGAGAGCGAATTAAATGCTCGTGTCCTTCTAAAATGTTAACAGACGGAAAGAAAGACATTGCATAGGGAGAATCGTCTTTGTGATTGATAGAGGAATCCATGGAGGCCCATATGAGGATAGTGGGCCATTCACCCATCGAAAGAACCATGGGTAATGGGTCCGACTTGGCATAAGAATTGGATTTTAAGACCCCAAACGAGATATACAGCTGCGAAAAAAATACAAAAGATCCAATCAAACAGTTTTTTTTTTCTTTTCTTTTTTTAAGAGATGGGAATATCTCGAATCGTATTGACTGATAATCAAATTAAAATTGATATCCCACAAATAATTTAGGGAAATAAAAAAAATATTAAAATGAAAATAAAAATCATATCAATTTTAATAAGTAATCAATCACTGCAAGTGACTTAATTTAAATGAATAATCGATATTATAGAGAAACGAGAACTGAAGATATTTTTAGGATAAAACAGAAAACAACAAGAAAGGAAAAGGAAGAAGATGGACTTACAGAGAACTGATGTAAACTGTAGAGTGATAAACAATTGAAAGCACTACATTGTTTAAAGAAATCGTTTCAAAAATCTTTTCGTGGACTTATTTGGTGTCAAATATTATGAATTTGGATGTTCTCACTTTTCTTTCATGACATAATAAGTCATATTTGTGAAATTAAAATGTTGAAATCAAATCAATGAGATAGTAGCTCAGCCAACACTTGCATGGAAACTCAACACAAACCCTAACTGACTCTAACGTTATAATTCACTGTTACTTAGATAAACGAATAGATATAGCCATAAAACAATAAAAATAAAAAATAAAAAGTCTAGCCTGCAACATCACCAAACCATTGTGGAGCTTTTAATGGAGAAAGATGCAAAGTGCAAACCATTATGTGGCAGAGTCTCACGACTGCTTTAGCCGAAAAAAAATGAAAAGCTTAATTGGAGGGTCAAAACTCCCACCAAGCTACTACCAATATAGAGATGAAGAAAAGGACAAATACCTCCTTAGACTCCAGCTTAGAGTTTTTTTTTTTTTTTTTTAATTACACATTTAAAACTTTTAATAAAATTAATCTACTAGTATTTAAAATCATAATCATAATTCTTAACAAAACTAATTTACTAAAATTTAAATTTATAATTTTTTATTATAAAAAACTATTATCATTAGATTATAAATTCTTCATTTTTTTTTTTTTGATATGCGTGGCATGTCAATAAAAAATATCAGAAGAATGACGTCATATTCTCTAACATAATCCAAACACGTTAATTTTTTTCATGCAATTATATCGTTGAATAACTTGATTTGACTTCTTGCAATCTCTGTGTTTGTCTTCTTTCATACATTTTCCCCTTTCCACTTGATAAAATAACCGTTCTGGTTCCAATCCAAAAATAACAAATTTCTACCGCAGTTTTTGACTACTCATTTCAACCAAATTTTTATTTATTTTCAACTATGTTTTTTTCCGGGAAGCTTTCATTCTTTACATCTCAAGCCGAAACTTTCAAACGGACAAAAAAAATAATAATAATAAAAAGGCTCCCCAATCTTCTGTCATTGTCGATTGGATTTTACAGCTCTTAAAATCTCAATCTTTTTCTCCTTCTCCACTTGAACGGCTACATATTATAGAAAAAATAAACTTCATGAGAACAACTCTTGCCTCTCCGTATTCGACAAACTAGAGGCAAAAGACACGCCAGACAACCTAGTTTTTCCCATGGCAATGTGAAAATCACCACGGCAATGAGGACATTTTCCAAACCATCTTTGAAAATATAGAATGCCACCTAAGAAATTAACATGAAATTGGGAGACGAAGACCTGAGTTTTGACCAACTAAACTATGGAATATTGGAAACCCCATTTACAAATGACAAGTAATAATAACCAATTAACTGAGACTTCGAGAGGAATTACTACGATAAATAAAAAGGCAAAAAGTGCTTCCACATTATCCCAGAATGGAGCCAGATCATGTCCGTAACCCATCGTCCAGTTCTCAAAGCTGGTTTCACATATAAAGTTGCTAGGGCCAGATTTGATATTAATCAGATTCAACAAGAGAAGTCCTTATCCAAGAAATGTCCTCTCCTGCCTACCTGGGACCAGCAGGCAAGGACAATTATCACACCCTGAAAAATTGTTGACTGCACTGAACACCCTAGGCCCTCAATACATACTGACACATTGTAATGTAATGGTCCCGGAAAATTAAAATCAGATAAAGGGTGCTCAAGGAAAAAAAAAAAAAAAAGGGCATCTTCTCTGTAGGCTTTCCCTGAGGAAGGCATACAAAATGTTAAATAGTGAAAGAAACAACTCACAACTTCCACTAGCAAGAAACCAAGAACTAACTGCCAACCAAAACACAAGCAAGCATACATATATTTTTTACAGGCTAATTAATTAAAGTCCTCACCAACCCACAAGATCAAGGCATACGCAAATTGCAGTTCTAACCATGATTTAATTTTAGTTCCTAAAAGTTCTCTCTTTTTTTTTTTTTTTTTTTAACACCAAATCCCTAATACGGCTACCTAGAGTCTAGAGACCCAACATACTTCCTTCCCTCCACTCCTCTACCAAACAAGTGCGAGCTCCCTAAAAAAAACTGAGCAAACTTAAGCACCACGCTTCCTTCATTTTACCCAAGCTAAATAAACCAAAATAAAATAAAAACGTATAAAGCAAAGGGATTTCTGAATTTCATGCATCAGACCTATGCTCCGACTCCATGCTTACAACAGTCCCCTCACCCTCAAAAGAAGATGCCGGAAGCTTGCATTTTGTGCCCATCTTCTTCACTTCCTCAGTTGAATATATGAATATCTTCTTTACCATCTTACAGAATTCCCTGCATGAATTAATAAAATAGATTTCAAGTGATATCTTCTTTACCATCTTGTACAATTTAACGGGAAAGAGATAATCAAGTGATATAGATGAATTTCTAAATCACTTACGGCCATGGATCATCACCCACAAGCATCATATCGCCCTCATCGTCTGTAAACACAACTGCCCATCTTTGGCGTGTGGAGAGTTCTCCTTCGATTTCAAACATTTTCTCCAGGTCATTTATAAGATCCCTGTACCCTTTCAACACTGTTAAATCAAGAGCGCGACCAACAGCAACCCCTTGCATTTGCACCTTCTCAAAGTAAACAAATTTTATTTATCAGAAGCTCAGACAGAGAGGGAAGAACTACAGAAGGCAGAACTTCAAATTTTACCTTGGTACGAGTTCTTGTGGAGGCTGTGGAGCCTTGCTTGCTTTGTGACTCCTTTGCCAATGCCTCTGATACAACTTGCTTCTGTTCTTTTGAAGACATTGAAACATCCATGGTTTGGGCCTTCTCAACCTCACTTGCAGCTGGAACAAGTCCTTTGGTGCCATTAGAATCAACAATTGGATATGCAGGTTCCTTCTCTGGTGGAGCAGCAATACCAGAGTTGCTTGTCAGATCAATTCCAAACAGCCGGCAACCTACAGAGTTCTCGTACTTTCTGCCCTTCTCCGCCTTCTCATTTATCAGGCCATTGCTTTGCCTTGATGGTATAGGAGAGGCAAAACCAGAGATAATTGACCTTGTAGCAAATTTGCCATCCCCTGTTGAATCTGGAAAAAAGTTGAGAGAAGCACTCGCGTGAGGTGAAGAAGGCCAGATTCCTTCTGGTCGTGCCCTTGAATTACAGGCACTACTGCTATTATGGAGAAGATTGCTATCAATTTCCGTCTGCCTCATAGCCCAGACATGGCTTTCAGAGCTTTGGACTTCACTAGTACTCCCTAGGTGGGCTAACTCGTGAGATTGGGTTGATCCATGATACCAAAAAGCTGAAGCAGCTGAATTTGTAGTAATCTCTGCACTCCAATTAATGCATAAAGTTCAAAAAAAAGCATAGATAAAATGATTCATAGAGAAACCAAGACAATTTTTCCACATACCAGATGTAGGAATATCCACAGGTCGGGGCCTTTTGCTCTTCACCGCCTGTTGAGTAAAATTTGGAGAAGCAGGGGCTGCAAAAGGTTCTATGTCCCATGGAGAAACTCTCTCTGGCCTTTGAATTGTTGCTGGTTCATCCCATTGAATCTGTATGAGGACATAATAGGGAAACAAGCATAAAAAACAAGATAATAAATAGGTCAAAATTCACATATGAATTCCAAAACAGTAATCAACCTTCAACGATCGCCATATAGAGCCAGACCACTCTGGAGAAATATCTCCAACTCCAACTATGGTACCTGTGAACCTGATCAAACAGTTTTCACAAGAGGTAAGGATCATCTTAAATCAACCATGAAACCCAGAAACCAAATATATATGGCGGAGATACCTTCTCTCAGGAGAATCCTCTCCCTCAAATCTCATCTTGAAGCGCATACCAACAGAAAATCCATTCTTAACAGCCTCTAGATATTTGTTCAGCCCAATGATATACTGGTTCGTCCTGCAGATGAGCACAGAGAGTAATTTTAAGATAAATGGGATGGGACGGCCAATTAACAAGCACCACCCAGATTTACAGTAACGAAGGCAATGATCAAACCTTGGCTTGTAGTACACAACAAAGAGGGTCTGTGTCAAAACAGCATGAGAGGCAGTAGCAAGCACTCCTAAATGCATGCTTTGGCTGGATATCACAGATGACGGAATGGAGCTTTGCTGACGAGCAAGACGTCGGACCCCAACTCGTAATTCCCCATTATCACCTCTACAAAAGCATAATATATGATATAATTATAAGCAGAAGTGGAGATCTGAATCTGAATGATAAATCAGATCGTTTGGGTCCAACAACCTAAGAAACACAAAAGCATCTCCTGCAACCAGTCTTTTGGAAGTGACAAATGTGCTCCATCCTGTTGTAAGCAGATGCCTCCGGGGTTGACCTAGTTATATAAGTTAAAAAGAAAAAGGGTAATCTAGAATGTAGAGTAATGTAACCCAGTTTCTTAAGCGTATTACCGTTTCAGTAAACTAGAAAATAGTAACATTGCAAAAAGCAAAGTTGATATGAAGCATATACCTCTAAATATATGCTTGAACCGCCACTCATAGCCATGAAGGTCTCTGGCAGCCAGTTCCTGGGTCGGCGTTGCTTGGCTCATGTCCTAATAAAAATGAAATGGTGGTTATTAAATACAAAAGTTTCAACGAACAACCTCTACTGCATCTAAACACCATTTAAGTAAAAAAGTTATTACCAAAGGAGGCAAGCATTCAGTGGCATGCTTTCTGAGAACAGAGAACCCTCCATGAGTGCTAGTATCAGAAGCTGTTAGAATTTTGCAAAAGGAATGAACTGTTGGCTTTGCCGGCTCAGGTGGACAAGGGTCTGGACTTGTAGGTTCGGTTTGCTGAGATTGAATTGCACACAACGAAAATATATATTGTAAAATAAGAACATTGATTCAGCAACCAAATGAAACAATAAAACCCAAAAAGGAAAACATTTACTCACATCCACTTCTGGGTGCAGAGTAATCTGAGCATAAACCTCATCCGTGTCTTGTTCAGCCTAAAAATTTGAAGAAACCAAACACTAATAAAAAAAAATAATAATAATAATAACACTTGCAAAGAAACAGAAATAGGAAATAAGAACACCAGCATTAGAATTACCAGCAGTTGAATGTTTACGACACGACAAAGGATCTTAGGATGAAGATTAAACCGTGGGATTTGCTGATTCAGTTCTTGATTTGTTGATGCTTCTAACTGCATAAACAATCCATAAACCAAGAAACAATAAAGCAAGAGGCTCAGATTTCGATCCGAGTTCTTTAAAACAACGAAAGCAGAGAAATGAGGTAAAAAAAAATTCCAGGAAAATAAAACAAATCAAAAGCTACATACTTGTTCCATGTGACCTTGAGGGAAGTAAAAAACTCTCTCTCCAGCCTTTGGGACATCCACCAATGGCCCTGCACATGCCTTCCATAGCTCTGTATACAGATCATCACCTCCTACGCCCATCAAAAACCAAATTAAAACACAAAATAAACAGAGATTTTAAAATATTTTTTAATTGGGTCTATAACCCTGTTTGGTTGCTGAGAAAACCCAAGAAAAGAAAAGAGAACACCTGTTTAAGAAACATAAATTTAGCATCATTTTTAGTCCCTACAAAGCAAAAACCTCCACTCCAGAAGCCAAATATTAATAATACCAACTCGAGTGAGATCAAATTTTCAATCTTTTGCACACCAATGTAAAATTAACTAGTAGTACAACTCAAAGCCCATCTGTTTTCCTTTCTTCTCCATTCTCAGCAACCAAACAAAGCAGCAAAAGACCATTTATTTTCACCAAACTAACACATGATATTTCCCATCCTCACTAACCTGTTTCAGCATGAGCCATCAAAACAGCCAGTCAAGCAAGGTGGTACCAAAGAAATAGAGAGAAAACGAAGTGATGAGGAAAGAGAGAGAATCCACTAGAAAGATGGAAAGCTGAAGGGGAGAAAGAAAAGAAAGAAAGAAAAGGGGTTTGAGGGAGTAAAGGACTACCCCATTCAATGAGCCAAAAACACATAAAAGGCTAAGCAGACATGACGGTTATGTAGGAATTCATTTTTCTTTCATAATTATAGAGTATAGTAAGGAAGCAAGCAGTAGACAGTGGCTGGCACTCTGAGGCCTGTGGCTCTCTTTCTCTGTTTCAGTTACAAAACTGCTTCTGCTTTTGTCTTCGCATTCACACAAAAACCGCTGTTTTTTTGACAACACACAAAAGAGAGGAGGAGTGTTTTATTGCTGTTGTTGTTGCTGACTTCTTATTGTGATCTCTCTCTCTCTATCTAAGGACTTTGAATCCGACGTTACCGATATTTTTACCAAATCCCCCTAAAACTAGATTAGGGGCTCTCTCCTGCTGCTCGTGATGTAATAATCTTTTGAGTCTCGTTCTGGTTTCTCTCTCTCTTCAGTTACTCACTCTAGTTTCCTGCATTCTCTACTTTCTCTTTCTACTCTCTAGTCCCTTTCAGCGTCTTTCGTCCTTTTAGCTTAGCTTACATCTTGTTTCCGATTTTTCTCTTCTTTTTCTTTCTCGGCAGTTGCCAATTGCTGCTACATTAATAGCTCTTATTAGATCCGTTTTCATATATCTGTTTTTATAATTTTAATTTAATCAATTAAATACATGTATTTTTAATTTTCGTTAAGTATGATTGATAAAATTAATAATTTTTATACATTAGATTAAATAAAAATATAATATATACGCATATAAACACTACATGCGGGTCTTCTTCTCTTTAATTCTATTATTTATTTATTTGAATTAAATGTGTAAAAATTATCGACTTTATAAAATTGTATTCAATTAATTAAATTAAAAATTTATAAAAACACATTATGCAAGTTGTGGATTTAGTATTTGATAGCTAGCATGTAGACCGAACTATGTCCTACATTAGTGAGGGACCCTAATTGCTGACGTTAATTGCTAAACTCTTATTTACCATCATTAAGTCAGGTAATTAGTACTGCGGTTGTGGATTAAACTGAATAAATGGAATACACGAAGGAACGATCTGATTGTCGACATCACATGAAACTCATTTATGGGATCCACCATCAAACGGTTGCCTTATTTTGTGCATTGCCTTAATGCCTTTCCGCACAACACTTGGTGACGAAAAGACTTTTCGTTTATCAAGTCTTTTCGTTGATTAAATGATGGATATTAACTACTAATACTAGTTTTATTTATATTGGCAACGGGGTTTAAGTTTGCTCCTCCCAAGGGATGTGTAGGAGTAGATGGTAAGCGGAATATTTATTTAGTTTGAAATCTCAAGTTTGAATTTTGTTATTTTGAAAAGGTGGTATAATTATATGTTTGTTTATGTAACGTAAGATACACAATATCTCTAATTAAATATCTAATCACCATATTTATACATTCATTAAAAAAAGAAGTTTAATTTTGCTACCTTATCTTATATTAGTAAGGCAAATGAACCAATTGCTCTCATTGAATCTCATTAAAAAAAGGTAAGTTTTAAGTGTTATTAATAATTTTATCTCTGTGATAAAATTCTTTAGTGGATTATATTTTAGATGTACGTGTAGCGTTTTGCTTAATTGGTTTAATTTGAAGGATTATTTTTTTAACCATAACACATTTACATTAATTTATGAAATTTTATTGTCAAAGAACCACAAATTAGATGAGGTTTCAAGAATAATTTTATATAATTCTCTAATAAACCATTTTAAGTAAACTTATACATGTATACTACTTTGTACTTAATTAATTAGAAGAGAAATAGAAATTGTGAGATTTAACCTCGTGATCAATTAGTCAACAAGGCTCTAATACCATGTCAAATAAATATCTCGACCTAAAAACTTAAATTATTAAGTAAAGTCTAAGGATGATTTTATATGATTCTTTTATATATCTTCTCAAGTCAAAATTCTTTAAGTTTGAAACTTACGCAAATCCACATTATATTATGTTTAATTAATTAAAAAGAAAATAGAAGTGGTGATATTCAAACTCGTGACTATTTATTCAACAAAACTTTGATACCGTATTAAAAAACTATCTAAATCTAAAAATTTATATTGTTAAGTGAAGTCTAAAAATAATTTTATACGATCAATATTCAATGTTATATTTCAATAATTGGTCTATAATAATAATAACAATAATAAAGAAGATCGTCTCGGCCTATGTTATATTGTAGCTTTAGCATCCGGTATTTTATTTTACTTTTTTATTTTTTAAAAAAAGAAAAGAAAAGATGTTTTAAGGGACTGCCGCCTCCTTTCCCAGTCAATGATCATGTACCATTGCAAAACTCAAATTTTCTTGTGACAATCACATGAAAAATGATTTCAACAAGCAAAGAAAAATCTACTCATCGTGAAAAGGTGCCGAGAGAAATAAGTAAAATTCACTTTTAATATTTAATGAAGTCATTAAATATCAATGATATGGAAAACCTCCACACTTGAATTATCCCAGTAATTCCTTGGTCCACTCTGAAAATTAAAATAGAAATGTAATTGTTACAAGCATTGGCTAGTTTAGGCATTGAAACCACTCGCCGTATTATTAAATGATGTGTAGTCTTGGAGAATAATAAAAATAAATCTGAAAATGTAATGAACTTTAATGTATGATATGATAATAAACGGCAAGCTTATAAGCCTACCTTAGTAAGTAAGGAGCCAAGTCATATATATATATATATATATATATATATATATATGCACATCAATTCTTGTGCAACATGCTAGAAAAATGTATATCTATTAATTGAGCAGTAATTTTCTTACATAATTCTGAAAAAAAATATAAATTATTGAACGAATATCTCATTATTATTAAATATGTGAACTTTGTTATTAATTTTTATAAATCTAATTATTGATATTTTTCAATAATTAAATTCTAAAAAATATAAATAGAAGAATAGCATTACTCATATTAATGTGGGCAGATTTATGTTTTCCAGAATACCATAATAATTTTACAGGGTATTTAATACTAATGTTGTTCTCTCCTTGATGGATAAAAAACACACTAACTGTAACTTAGTCATTTTCTAAAAAGGAGGAAAACACCGATTTGATATTACTTATGCAATTGGTTACAGCTTGAATACTTTCAAATATCTCTTTCCAAATAGCACAGGGATGGCAACGGAGGTGTATAAAGACAGAAGATGCACTTTTCACCTCCGTCTCTACAAAAGCTTCTTAACCTCCATACCTAACTAGGTTTATTACATAAAATGTAATTTTCAACCGGGCTTACCTACCTCTATAGGAGGCAGACCTCAATTGTCGATGGGCAAACTGAGACAGACCTCGATGAAGGTGGTACAATTGTCATCCCCAACTCATACCAAACGCGGCCTTAATCTAACCGCCGGTGAATACAGAGTTCACGTAACTAACCGTACGGCACGCTGTTGGAAAGGAAAGCTGCGGGGCACAATTAAGTAATTACGCGTCACATCATGATACGGCACCTCGAGAAGGGTGACCCTTCTCCATTCCATTCCGTTATCTCTTCCGCCGTTACGGTTTATTTGCCGTCTCTTTCTTTGTCTGCATCGTGGCAGGCAAACGTGTTGGCTCGTGTAAACCCGGCAGACCAATTTTCTGTTTTTCTTTTTTCTTCGTTCTAATTTTAATTTCAGAGAAATTTATGTTATTTTGCTTTCTTGACGTTGGAGAAAACAAGTTCTCGTTTACACGTGTTACTCCTGACTCATAGGGTCCCACAAGAGCGTATGGTAAGTGCGTTGGCTTTTGATGTCTTCTTTTCGTTGTATTTAAAACCGACTCTCCCTTCAGTTCATATAGCAACACGAGCATGACTTTAAGCCGGAGGGGAGATCCAAGGGCTTTGATTGGGATAGATTAGTGTTTTCCACCTCTCAGAATGGAGCGTGAGTTTATGAATTTACAGTAAAGCTGTATCTGTGATCTGTTAGCTGGTCCCATAGCACACGTCATATGCAAACCTAATTAAGCTTGGCCACGTGGTTTGGTCGTTTTCATACCCACGTGTCATTATCCGACTTGTCTTCTTTCTTCAGTGCAGGACATTCTGTTTCCATTTTCTTAAACACAGTGAAACTTCTCATATTTTCAGGGCACAGAAAATTAAATTAAAAAAGGGGGTCAAGTATAAAATAGTACCTCTAATTTTCAAATACAATTAAATAATCACACTATTTTTAAAAATTATTGATTACTTCTTATATCTTTAAATTTAGTTGTAATTTAATTATCTTCATTTTTTTGTTTCAATAAATAGAAAAATGAGAAAATAAGTAAAAATATTGAAAAGAAAAAAACATTTTTTAGAATAAGATAATATTAAATTAACCATGATTAATATGAGTTAAAAGACTTATCAATCAATTTTTTAAACAAGGGAGATTATTAATTCATTTTGTAAATCTAAAGGGACTAATTTATAATTTACTAAAAAAACGTTGCATC